AATCGAACTTTTGTATAATATATTAATAATTATTTTGCTTACATAATCAAAATATATCAATATGTCAATTAATATTGCAGCTCAAGAGCAGACGTCGTCAGACGGCAAATCGGTATCCGAAACTGAAAAGATGCAAATGATTTTTAACGAACTTAGGTCGAATAGACCAAGATCGCTAGACAGCTGCGATTTCCGTAGATTGGAGCTGCACAAAAGATTTATTTCTCTACCAAATATGGACTTGAGTAAAAATTCCACGGAAGGAGCACCTACAAAGGACGGTTGGAAATCCGCACCCAACTTGATGTTACCGGAGCAGCTCAAGGGAATGGATGTGCGTGAAAATTCCTCTGGCGATGTTCCAGAAATTGGATTGTCGTCCGCGGAGTTGCCCGTTTCGATGGAACCGCTATCACGTGACGAATCGTCTGTTCCTGCGACATTGATGCCACCTGTAGCTGCAGAAAACGACGGCTGGATCGAGACGCCGTTGTCCGTCTCGTCGCCGTTGTCCGTCTCATAGCCGCTGTCCGTCTCGTCGCCGTTGTCCGCCTCGTCGCCGTTGTCCGCCTCGTCGCCGTTGTCCGCCTCGTCGCCGTTGTCCGTCTCGTCGCCGTTGCCGCCGGTAGAAGCCGGAGAAACGGATACGGCAACCAGCAGTGGCCGTAGTGACGCGGGGACGGACCACCTGGCGGTAACCACGGTCGCGTCTAGGGCCTAGGCGTTCACTTTGGAACCGGACGAAGCGGTTCGTCAGGCGTACGTTGAACGTAGTGGCGACCAAGATATATTTTTCAGGTGTAGCAAGAAAAAATTTTACCCACCCACCCACCCTCTCAAACTCAAAATTATATTATTTAATACATTTTATCATATTTTTATTGATAATATTAGTAAATATTAAGGTATCAACCAATATATTCTATGATTAATTATGAACATATTTCGAGTTTATTATTTTTTGTTATTATACCCATCCACCCCTTATTTTCAATTTGTAGCGACCGCTACACTTAGAAATAGGGTTGGGCGCCACTGGTACGTTCTGCTGTGGGACGACCGACAGCGCAGATGAATAGTGTTTATAATTGTATTGTATTATTATGATATACTCCATTCCAAATAAGTATGGGAAAAATGTCCGGTTTCGAGCAGGTATGTCACGTGATCTACCGGAAGGCGTATCTCACGACGAGTAATGAATCCGTAGCCAAAAACCTAACCACAGCGCGGACCTGCATGAGCGATGTTTTCCAGACTTATTTGGAATAGAGTATAGTATTTAGTATAGTAATATGTACCTAAAATGTAAATTGTTTATTATGTAAAATATAAATTGTACCTATATTATGTGACATGTATATTGTATAGACATGCGATTAAAGGGCCACTTGATAAATTCTTCTAATAATCTATATAGTTTAATTTCTACTTTAGAAAATCGACACTAGAAACATTGAAAAATTAAGAACTTAATATGGATAATTCATTAACTATTACGTCAATGATTGACAAGGTGATTCAATCCAATTGGTCAATTGTGTTGATCAGAAGAAAGAATTTTCTAAAGCCATATTGTCCGGATTTTGTAGTAATAATATGTTTTATTGTAAAAAGAGCCAATTATAAAGATACTATGAGTCTAGTCTATGACTAGTAAGGAAAAACAAAAAAGAAACAGTCAAGTATCCAAACTGTAGTAAATAATAATAATAATTATGTAAACGAAACAGTTTTTTTTTATCGTTTTTCAGTTGTTTTTTGTTTCATTAAATGTTTTCGTTTTTTGTTTTTTTTTCGTTTTCGTTTTATTAATTGTTTTTGTTTTTTGATTTTTTCCGTTTAGTAACGTTTTTCAAAAACGTTTTCCATGCCTGCTTTAATCGTGATATTAACTATTAAGTAAAAAATTTTTAATTTTGTAATTTATTCAATAAAATTAAAACGAAGAATGGTAATAGCGATATAAATATATAAAAAAAATTGTGCCTATGCATTTTTAATATTTTTCAACTGATATTGTAACAATATATCAGGAGCCTTATATTAAATTTGTACACTTTTAGGCCCTACAGATAAAACTTTATTGATATTTATATAAAAAAAAAACTAAAAAAATTGAAAACTGAAAATGTCCGTAAACAGCTCAAAAAGAGTCAAAATATTTTCAAAATTGTATTGTGTATAGAAAATGCTAATATAAACATTCAGTGAAATTTTCATGTATCTACAGTTAATAGTTTTTGAATTAAAACAAAATAAGGAAATCGCTACATGAGAAATCGAGTGAATATCCAATGTTGTAAAAATTTGAATTTCAAAAGCTCATAAAAATTTAATTTGACTTTCTTATAGACATTTTTTTGATAAAGGTAGATAATCTCATAAGGAATCTTGTATTGCATTTAAAAACTTATATTTAAAAAGAAAAATTTTTACGAATTCTTAACTCAAAATAATTTGCTTATTTTAGTGATTTTTCCATATTTTGTCAATTTTTGAACTTTAAATGATTATAAAACAAAACTGTGACTGAGGATGTCATTGCAACAATATAGTAGTATTAATATGTAATACAGTCTTGTATTACATTTTCAAGTATTTTAACTCAAAAAATAAATTTTTATTGACATTCATAGAAAAAAAAAACTAATAAAAAATGGGAAACTGAAAATGTCCCTAAACAGTTCGAAACAAATCAAAATATTTTGAAAATGTTATCATGTATAGAAAATGGAAATATAAACCAGTGGAATATACCATGGAAATATAAACAACCAGTGAAAATTTCATGTATCTACAGTAATTTGTTTTAAAGTTACACCAAAAACCAAAGTCGATTTTGCGTAAAAATTCTAGTTTTTCCTTAATTTTTCTTTTGTTTTTCTTGGAGTTTTTGAAAATTACTGGGAATTTTAAATTTTGACCTCCTCAATGCATCAACAATATTCACTTTCCTATCGAACAAGATACTGAAGTTGAAAATCGAAGCATTTTTTCGACTACTTATCGTGTACACAGACACAAAAATTAAAAATTAAAAAAATATATAAAAACACACGGAATCTAAAATGTACGACAGTCAAAGCATAGCAAATTTAGAGGAGAATTCAAATCTGCTTTCAAAATTTAAATCGGAACATCCTACTAAGCGTAGTGATTGACTGGATCATTGGTAGTATTTTTTGAAAAAAAATGTTTGTAATTTTATAAAGTAGTAAGTGGTGACATGTGCATGCGACTAGCCCCTTTAAACTTATCAAATTATAATGTAACTAGTTCGAAAAACACGAGTATAAAAATATGTATAATACGTTGTGTATTTACGTGCGGCTGTGATGCGGGTCTCAGCAAAACATAATATATTGATACTGTTGTTTATTGAAAATTTTTCTATTTATAGTTTTTCTTAAAGCCTACTACTTACCGTCTACTATATTAACACCTCAAGTACCTAATCAGAACCACAGATATATAAAAATTAAATTAAATATATTTATATATATTTGTAATCTGAACTCTTTTTGAAATATGGCCTTGTAATTGTAAACCAGGTTAATAATGTAATAACGTTTTTCAAAAAATGAGTCTCAAAAAAAATTTGCACAGAAAGAAACATACCTTCGCTCAACTATGGTCTATGACTGAATACTGGCTATCAAATTTGGCCATATTGAGCATAGGAAGCAACATTGCTCAAACCATTGATTTTGATAACGTAATAAATAAATTTTAACTAATGAAAAAGCGCAGAAAATTATTGTAATTTTCTAGTTCTTTACTATTATTTTTATCTAAATACAATTTTAAAAATGTATTATTTTTGACTTTTGTATTGGATCAGAATTTAGAACCATTCTATATGTCTTGTGAAAATGAAATCAGTCATTGAAAACTAAAATAAATTAAATATATTATAAATATACACATAAAAATAAAATAATAAATATGTACAATCCCTTCTTAAAATGATTTAAATATTTCAGATAAATTTGTTAGTTGAATATAAATTTTAATGCAACAAATAAAAAAACAGATTAATTAATAATAAGTAAATAAGCCTAAAGGCTAAGGCTTGTAGGTACATTTTACATTTTACTGAAAAATTTGTTATGACTCATGTAATATAGTTATATTGAATGTTGGTATCAAAATGTTATGTAAATATTAAATAACTAATAAGGCAAATCACAAGCGCATTGGGCGACTTTATAATACCTAGTTGGTTGATGTTTCTACACAGTGGCCTCTCGTAAGTAAGGCAGACCCTCAGTTCTAAAATCCTGGCTACGCCACTGTACAGACGTACAGTCCACACCCGAGTGACCGCATAGGTACCTTAAAACCTCATAAAGACATTTGATTAAAAACCATTTATTTCACAAATTGGATTGTTTCGATTACAATTTTACTCATAGGTGAATTCTAAGATGTACTTAAAACAAAAACATAGTTATATAATATAAAAAAAAAAAAAAAACAAAAAAAAAACAATAACCAACACAAATATGTCTAATATTGTAATAAAAACATGATGTCTCGACTAATGAATGTTGAGTACTTGAGTGTGTGTTGTATAAAATATACTTAATATCTGTGTGATAATAATTTTGTTCGCGTGTCTGGGATCTAAAAAAAAAATCATAGAATAGGTACATCAGTATCGAGAGTAGTATCGTGTGGATATCTAAAACACGGCAATAATTATAAAGAGACCTCAAAGATGTTGTCATAACGCACATAACTCATAGTCAAGTACTTAAATATAGTATTTATTATACATCTAAATACCTAGGCACTAATAATATACAGCCATATATGATATATAGGTACCTAAATCGTAGATAAAAATCCCAAAATATATATTTCATTTTTTATCTCTAACCGTACAGGGTGCTGTATACACGATATTCGATTCGATATAATATATTGAATAGAAATATCAAATATCAAATATTATCAATATTATATGCACCTACCAAACTTGACAGAACGTGAACTTAACCGGATTCCATTTGTTCTCCGAGTTCCGAAATAGTGTTTTCCGACAGCGATTGCAGTCTTGGCGATGTCCACATCACGTCGTTGGCCGCTAACAAAGAACTGCCCATTGGCACGTTTACCGTACTGCTGAGCTGTAAAAACACATTGGAAATTACAAATTTAAACTCATACAACAACATTTCTATGATATTCAATTATTAGTGTACCGATATTGGTATACTGCACAATATCATCGTCTATTAAACCGATATACTTGGGGCAAAACCAAATTTTGTATTTTACGACACTGTCATTTTATTTTTTTAAATGATAACCACTATATTTTTTTATGGATTCTGGTAAAGCTTTTTTTCTGAACATTTTGACAGTCAAATGATCAATTTTGGTTCGCTATAGGTTACCTTGGTCCTCTAAAGTTTAGTATAATACGCATTAATATTTTTAACTGAAATACCTAATTTACAAGAGCTAATTTTTTCTTATAAGTACCTTTTTGTATATTACTTAAATAGTTGGTAATCTAAAATGCTCAAAAAAAAAAAAAAAAACCATAAGCAATATTGTTGGCAAACATGGTTCATTATCTATAGTAATTTTTGAGAACAATTGAGAACAATTTTATTTCATAATTATTAATAATAATTTACCTACTATAGGTAAGTACTACCTACAGTAATTTTTTTTTTTGAAAGCTGTATTGGACTAAAAAATATATTTTGGGGATAAAGATGGGCCCCGGGACCGTTCCCCCTTACCCCCCTTAATCCGAGCTTGAGCTTTCACGAGAATAAGTATGATGGTTTTATGACAAATTGATAATATGATCTCATAGAACCAAAGATTGAACACACTGTTTTTTTGTAATTTGGAAAAAATACCCAACTATCATTTAAATATCATTACCTCCCATAATTACTAAATAAATTATAAAACTGAACCAAATTTCACCCCGTTTGACGTGGCCACGTAGGTAGTAGGTACCTATGTAATATGTGGCAAGTACGTATAGTACGTATAGACGTATAGATACAAAATATATAAAAATTCACGAGATTTAAATAAATCACCAGAAAAATGAACAGTTATGATTGTATTGTATAAAATATAAATGTATAATGCAAGTGTGTTTTATATATATATAGCTATATAGGTACTTGACACAATGACACTTTAACACTATTGTATCATATTGTTATGATGACATATCGACATCACTGCAGAACGGCGCGCGGCGTGGCGTAAGATCGCTCTCGTCGAAAAAGCTTAAGAGCTTCGTAAGCATTGTATTATAATAATATATAGGTACCTACTGTCAAAAGTTTAGTCGCATAATAATTAATAATCATAATTCATAACATCATAAAATAATATATACAGTCATATACAGAGTCTGTATAAAAACGACTCTAGTGATAATTCATCATTGACAATAAATATACCTTTATTATAATATCGTGTATTTTGCATAATATAGACCTTATAAGGTACCATATAAGATCTATGGTATTTAGGTGCGTGCGTGTCCGTCTCAAATCATTATTATAATTATTATTTATTATGGTGTCTCACCTGACATCCAGTGTTCGAAATATTAGGTATCTGTTTTTATGAAAGTACAGGGACGGATTTAGAGGGGGGGGGTTCTACACAATAATTTTTTTTTAAATTTAAATGCATATATATAATATTATATACCTATAGGTACCCACTGCATTAATAATGTTAGCTGTAATTTGTAAGTTTCAACTTATTTTAATTATTGTTTAATATAATTAGGTAATTATTTTAATTGTATTACATTTAAGTATTTAACACGAATATTAAGTATATTGGTACAGAATATGTATCTAATTAAAAATGGACCTTCGCTAAAGATGGTCCAAATCCTCCACATTCCTCAATCTGGCATTGTATCAAGTACCTACCTACATCCAGATCCGACCAATGCTACCTCGATGCTAATTCTACTAGTTATTCACATTAGTGTTATTTATATCTACTATTATACTAGGCTATACGTAGTCTAATGCACTTAGGTACTACCTATAGTTTATTTAAAAACTATAAAAAAATATTCCATGTCAATAATTAACAAATGTAATTTAAAAGAAGATACAGTATAATATGCAGCGTGCCCGTAATGGGTACCTATATTTTCATTAAGATATATTAAGATTATTTTAAACTACATAGGTATTTATGAATGATTATTTTCAGAAAATAATCTGTGGCTTGAGCCCTCCTCCCCAACTAAATTTATCAAGCTCCGCCATATTTCAAATTATAAGTGAAATAAAAAAACTGTATCAGAAAAAACTAAATTTTAAATTAGGTATCATTCGTCGATTAACAGTAATACGAGTATTATCTAAACCTATGGTTATTAAGCTAACAATAAATGTAATTCACCATATTACCAGCCTACACTACCATATTATCAGCAACGATGAGTATATTTTTATAGCGTGAAATTACAGTTGAAAAGTTTTTAACTTTATAGGTAAGTGTTCAGTTATTACCTATAATCGTACCTAACATTGTTGTTTTTGTTTGTGTTGTTTAACATTTTGTTATATAATATTTGTAAATAGTTATAAGTCGTTTTGTTTGTGGACTGTGATTCTCATAACTAGGCACCTATAGCTACCTATAATGAGCTAACTTAGTTGCATGAGTACACTTTAGTACTCTTATAGTATTAGTCTTAGTCTAATCTTATTTCCAAATTAGAGTTTAAACTGTAGTTGAATAATATGTTTGTCGTACCAATTTAATAAAACAAAAAATTTAATCCTACATGAAAAGCGCTAACTAAATGTACGATGTACCTACTACTTACATGCTTATAGTAATTTCATAATATATCATACATATATAACAGTGATGGCCACCCCGCGGCCCGCCTTGGAAAGTTGTGCACCCCGCGACATTTATCAAATATTTACAAAAAAAAATAATAATTAATACACCAAAACTTATTTTATAATAATAATTAATTCTGTTTATAATGTTTACTCCACTTTTTTTGTATTGGGGCAAAATACTTTTATAATTTTATATGTGGCCTAATTTTGAATAATAAAATATGTAATTATATAATTATTTTTTACTGGCTAATGACCTTTTTTTTTTGGCAACCCCATATGTGGCCCGCAGGATTGTAATATATTTATAAAGTGGCCCGGTAGACCATTTGGGTTGGCCATTCCTGATATATAATATCATACTTCATAAGGTGTCATGTCATATCTACCTACCTATACTGGCATACTTCGCTACACTATGTATTAAAACTTCCAAGATTAGGTACCTATGGCATTGGTCATTTGACAACGGACCTTATTTCAGCAGAAATTAGGAAACATAATACCTAATTGGAAAAAAAATAATTATTATTAAATAGATAATATAGGTAGGTACGATAAAAGTTGTTCAAGAGCATAAAATGAATTAACTTTGTTCATATTTTCATAACGTATCTTATTAATTAAGATGATTTTTTTAATTTTTCGCTCTTTCCATCCAGCAAACGATCAACTATATAATTTTTCAAATATCACACATACATGCTGTTATACCTATGCGTTACGATTTTCTAGAATATTAAACGACCTTGCTCAGTGCCACGCTTGCACTCCATATAGTATACTTTGACCCTATAAATACCGAAGAAACAGTTATGACAAAATATTCTCATAAATCATAATAGGTATTATATGCAATTTGTCTGTAATTATTTTAATTAATATGGTATTATAGTTATATAAATATTCAATTATCCATTTTTTTTTTTTACTTACTTACCTATAATAGAAAGTAATTACCAATAACTAATAAGTATAAACTTGTAGGTACATAATACACCTAATATATATATATATTATATACCTAAAACATGCATAATATAGCAACTACGTAAATTCAAAAGATAATAATTATTCTCGCATAATTTTAAATTGTGTCTTATCAAATATGATAAATTATAATTAGATGACAAATTAAATTATATGAAAGAAATAAAAACTATGAATTATAATCTTAGTCTAATAAATTAAGAACGCCTTAAGGCTTAAATACTTTAAGGTAGCTACATTTCATAAAGACACAATATATTATGTGTGAATGTAATTAAATGAGCTTTCATTTAAAATTATTATTGCTATATGAAGAAATAAATAGTATTTAATATTATGTGGTTTTTTATTTAATTACAACTATTTCAAGTCATCACTTTAAATACTTACGCATAAACATCTATTACTTACAAATGTATATACCTAATCTATACATAGTTATACCCCGCCATAGAAACCCTGTGTGATATGTATGTATACGAATAAGAACTAATGAATATTAAACATTTAATCTCACTGTAAAAGCATTATTCGTTTTTCAAAAGTATATCTATCTACTTTTCGTAAAAGATTATTGAACCCACTATTACTCATTAGTTATAATGCTGAGGTAGATACTTTTTTCTAATTTAAATACTAAAAGGTTATATTATTTTACACGAACATTTAACTACCTATTTCAAAAACAATTATAGAAGTATTCTTGATTTATTAACCTTCAATTCATTATTCACCTACCAATGTCCAATGTGTATATTTAGTGAAAAATACACGCGTATGGAATTTAAAAATATTACTTAAATAAAAAAAAAATTTTAAATATGTATTTATTTTAATAATTAACTTATTCAAACATTACTATTTCACTATTTTAATTAAAATTTAAAATTAATGTAGAGACATTTATCATTGTAAACGTGAACAATCAAGAATGTTTCAGTATTACCTATTAGTATCATTGTGTGTTAATGCAATTGCATAATTTTTTTTATGTTTAGTTTAATGCTTAATTAGTTGTACATGCGAACTTTTTGAATGCTGTTAATAATAATATTCAAAGACAGGTTCAACATATACACACATTGAAATAAGATGTAATTCTGGTACCTACAGTCAGAACAAAAATTCGGTCAAGGTTCTTCATTCTCTCTTTATTATATTATATAGGTACCTATATATATTTCACAATAAACAAAAGTTTAAAAGTTATATAACAAATAGGTATTATTTGTATATAAGTATAAATAGATAATAGATAATATCTATCATATCTCAAAAAATATTACCAAATTTAATTTTTAGAAAACATTTCCTACATTTCTTAATAAAAATGATTAAATATTAATCGTTATCGGATAGTCATCGTACTTATTATGAACTTAAATAATTGCCTTTAATTTTTTTTTAACTTAATAAAGAGAAAAATAAACAAATCAATACAATATTATAACCACGTGAATAAAAGTATGTATTTATTATCTGAGTTCACATGCCATAGTCTGTTAACCTCTTAACTCTATTCGTCTATTCATTAAGTATTTACTACTTTGATCTATATAGGTACCTATGTACCTATACACCTACTACCTATAGAAATTTAATTTACTACATAGACAATTAGGAGCTTTCATATAAAACATATATACTTATATAGCTTTATATACATATGAGTACGACCTAATAGGCTATAACTTAACTTTATAATACTTTTTAAAAGTAATTATATTTTATGTTTTATATTATACGTACGGTACCTATATATTATACAAATAGGTAGGTACACCATAATTGCATCAGGAAATTACTTATTACAGCGCAATTTTATAAAATCATTTCAAATGTTTTATGTTAACATCAAGAATATTGTTTAAAAATGTACCTACCTACTTCCGGGACTACTTCAACAATTAAAAAAATAAATCTCAGATAGGTATACCTACGGCTTCATAAACTATTGTTTGAGAAATAAACATGTTCTGAATCAAATTCAGAGGATAAGATGAGTGAATACTGAATAATATATAACTATAACACTATAGCACTAACACCCATCACCTACCTGAAATGTCGACAGTATACAAGGATTCTTGTTAATCCTACTGCACACGCGTCATGACCTCAGGAGCGTCAATGTATAATATATTAATATTTATCATATTGTTTAACTTAGAAATGACCTGATTTCATTTCAGATAACTTCTAAAAAAAGTAATATTACCAAACTAATATTTTAGTGAAATGTAAATTTCAAACATTTAAAGCCTAATTAATCCATTGAAATGTTATCATGTAAAATTGTAAAATGACTAATCAAGCGGTTTGTCAGATCATAGTATTATTATTACAGGATCATTAGGTACTCATTAGTTAGTGGCGGCTTATCTATGGTTCAAGTTTGAATAAATAATTACAACTAGTGGTCGTGTGATTTGAATAGTAATTGTTTGAGAAAAAAAAATCCAGAATTAAATGGTTAAGTTTTTTGTATGCTATTAATATTCAACATAAACAATAGATTAAGTTAGAGGTGTGCAGGTCAATTGCCAGCGACACATACATTTTCTTGGATATAACCCACACGTAGTCGTAAGTTAGATATTAACTATCTTATCGATCGATAGAAAATAACTAGGTAGGTAGGTATAACAACAGGTAATCAATTACAAATAAATAATAATCATAATATTATATAAATGCCATTAATGATCCACGACTACCACAAAAACTGTTTGCCGAAAATTTCTTAGACGACTTAAATCTTAATTAATAGTCAATAGCAATTGTATACCTATACCATAATATCGTTTACTATATTGTTATGATAAAACTATATAAACGGCGGTCACCTGAGAATAATTCTTGGAGAAGTTGTACTGCTGACCGGACGTACAGTACCAGTGGTGTTGCGGGTCGGGCACCGACAGCCAATTGGCCTGGCCGTCGAAGTCGTTGATCTGGCACGTGGCCATGGTGTGCGGCAACGATTGCCAGCTGCCGTCCGATTGGAATTGCGTCGCGCCATGGCCGTGGCAGTCGCCGCCACCACCACCGGCACCGTGTTGGGGCGACGAGAGTTGTACAGCCTTGTTGTTGTACTGCAACGACGGCTGCCGGTGAGCGTGGTGCTGCCGCTTGTTGGCCGGCAAGTCGGCAGCCGTCACGCCGCACTGATTGAACGCAGCCGCCGACGCCGCCGCACCCTGCTTGTGCAACGCGGTCCGCTTGTGCTGGAGCAACCGCTGCTGGAACAGCTGCTGCTGGAGCCCGGACTTGTCCAGCGCGTAACCGTCCGTGTAGTTGAACCGCTTGGCCATGGCGGCCGACGGTGACCTAGGTGGCACGTCCTTACCACACCGGTACTCGGCCGCCGCGGCTTGCTTCCGGTTCGACACCACCTGTTCGTCGTTAGGCAAACAGCTCTGATACAGCATCTTGAGCGTCTCGTGTTCTTTTTGTACACCACATTCTTGCAGCTGGAACAGTTTTCCGTTGCCACCGGCGCCTCCCGGCATGCGACCGTTGTACTGCTGGAGCTGAGGCGACCTGGGTGTCGACGACTGCACAGCGTTAGCCACCGCAACGACAGCCGCAGCCATGACAGCCGGGTCAATCTGGTTCATCAGTCCGTCGGACGCCCGTCTTCCCTCGCGGAAGCTGACGGGCGACATGTTGTCGGTGCGCGGCCGGACGCCGTCGCCCGCGGAGCTGTGGTTGTGCGCCAGGAACGAGGCGCGCCGATCCCACGACGGCGGTGGACAGCTGTTGGCCGCCGCCACTGCGGCCGCGGCCGTGCATATCGCCGTGCAGTCCACAGCATACTTCATTTCGTTGGCGCACGATGGCAGGCTGGACACCTGCAAGTCCGATTCGTACTGCTGCAGGTTCGCCGCGCACTGCAGGTGATCCGCCAGATTCTGGCTGTGGCTTTTGATTACGGGGCCGCCGCCAGCCGCAGGTGGATACGCCGACCGGTGTGACTGTTGCGTGGGGCTGGACGAAGCAGCGGCGTCCTCTAGGTCCGTCTCGATGCCTTCGTCCGTCGACGTCGAGTACTGCGGTGCCATCATGGTCATGTGATCCAACCGGTTGTGATAGCACATTTTCGGTCCATCGTCGTGTGGCGCCTGAAGCGCCATGTCGATCTTGTCCGGTTTGCAGCCCTTGAACTTGGGCAGCTGAGGCAGCTCTCTGAACGGTGGGTGTTGTTGCTGCGGTGACTTGCAGAGGTCAGCCAGGTTGACAGAATGCTGAACAGCCCGGCCCTGGCTGTACGACCGCGGTCGGTTGGACGGCGTGTGGCCGCTGTTCAGGTGAACGGCCGCACTGGTTTTGGGCTGTTTCCATAGGTCAGGTTGCATGTACTGGTGCCCGGCTGGGCAGTCAATCGACGCCCGCTTGTTGGGGCTCGAGTGCCCCGTGAACAGTTGCGGCTGTTCGTACGAGAACAGTTTCTCCGACAGCCGCCGGTCCTGTAGATAGTGGCTGCTGTTCTCTTGCGACTGTTGCTGTTTGAGTTTCTCCAACAGCAGATAGTAAATGGCAGCGTAATGATCATACGTCCGATTCCTCAGCGACTGAAATGTATATAAATGTATAAGTATGTATGATAGTCAATTTCATTATAATTTCTATTTTATAATAAATCAAAGGGCTAAAAATTAATGATAATTAATAATTAGGTATAGGGTACTGAATAATGTATAGGGTGGCAGGCATTCGAATATAGTTGAAATATTCTAAAACCTACTAGGTATATACAATATAACTATAGTACAGAAATTTTTATATAGTTACACACTACACGCACTTTTTGTTTGCTATAAGCTATATACTGGGCCTAAAAACTATTATTATTATTAGTATTTTATTCACTGAAAAAATATAATTTAAATCGGGTTGTGTCAATATTGTCCGTACCTCTTGATCTTGAATTCACCAAATTATTGGTGAGTGATGTCATAAATGTATAATTCATGAAAAAATTAAATATTCATAGGTTTAGTTGAATGCTTTCATTAACACTTGACTTGTCAACAGGGAAAATTATTACCAATTACTTATGAAAACCCCGTTACCTAATATACCTACGTAGGTAGCGAAAGTTTTCAAATATAATTTTATTTCATGTTACATGATATTTCAAAATGGTTTTTGTCTAATAAGGTTTTAGCAAACATAATATATTATATTACATAATAGATACAAAAATGTCTATGACTTATAAGTTATAACGTCCTTTATAAGTTAGAACTAAAAAAATCTAACCTGTCTAGTTCTCGTCGTATTTATATCTAAACTGCTCATGAACCGCAACACTTGATCATTAGGTTCTGCCGGCATTTCTGCGATCGTACCCGGCAGAAGTCTCGGGGCTTCTTCCAACATCCAAGGATGCCTTTTGATCTGTTCGACGGTATACCTTTTATTTGGGTCTAATATGAGCATTTTACGTATCAATGATTCACAACCTGTAAAATGCATTAACATTTAAAACCATTATTATATATTCACATTTCACGTGTTGAAATATTTAGTGCTCGTTTTTATGCCGGCCAAGCCGCCCAGCCGTTGTGTAAAATTGATCGTTCCGCCGTTGATGGCAGTGACGTCATTGCAAGTACGTCATACCACGCGGGCAGACCCGGCACGGAGTGAAAATAAAACCTGGCGTAACCACTGGATTCTTGTGTTTGAAAATTTACGACAAACCATCACACTGCAGTTACGTCATCGCAATCGTTTAATTTGACGCACAGTCCACTTTTAAGTATTCCTCTGAGGCCATTGCCTTCAATTTTTCACGTCACCCACATTATAATTTAATAATTTAAATCTTTGAAAAAAAATCTAACACTTTTACTACCTATGCCAAATGTTTAAACAGATGAGAATTTTGATTCAGAGAAAATCCGTAAATAGAAAAGACTTTCAAGAAGTGTAAATAAAAATGTGGGTTTATCTTCCAACGATCCTTCGTAAACACTACAGCATTTGCGAATATACTATATATGTGTACTATATACATGTATATACAAAACTTATATTTATATAATAAAAGAGCTAAGAGCAAGCAAATAAACAAATATTTATACGGAGCTTAGTGTGATTTTTGTTGTATATTATAATATACATATATATGACTTATTTTCATACACGACTTAAAAGTTTTCATACTGTCCTATCAATTTATATACCTAGCAAAATGATCAATTTAAGTTAGAATTAATCAACGCTAAGAGATTTATTTTTTATAAATATGTAGATACTAGATACATAGAGCTCTTAAATTCACCGAAAAATAAAACAAATTCTTATCAATAAATAAAATAGTAAAATTAGAGTGAAAATTGAACTTAATTGAGAGTACGGTGATGCATTTACCTACGATTATGACTTTGTACGTATAGGTTCTACGTTTTAATATTATTTGTAGTTTAACCGCTATATTAGGTCAAACTTAAACTTTTATGGTAAAACTATGATGACAATTTCACCTACATTTAAAATATATTTTATACTATTTGTACCTATTTGAATATAAGAAGGAATTATAAATAAAATAATAATAAGATAATATACATTACCTTTCAAGAATAACAAACTAACAAGTAACGATATGAAATGTGTCAGTCAATTTAAATTTCTATAGTTTATATTTAATGGTTAGGTATCAGGTAACATGGATGTATATTAAAAACGGTAAAACTGATATGTAACGTTACTGCAAGTAGTTGAAAATTGACCATGGAAAATTATGTAGATTTTACGAACAGTGTTTTGTAGATCAATTTTTAATGATTTCAAAGGATAATTATATATTTGCTCTATTCATTTCTACTTGTGATTTTTTTAAATCAAGTTTAACTCAACAGTGCCATATTGAAATTTTCGTCACGCTACGATTTAAATCGTTAAACGAATCTGAACGAATCAAAATAAAAAAAAACAAAGATTTCTCGGAACAAATTTCAAGATTTAGGATCATTAGATAAACTTTATTTAACTAACCTGTGCTCATAAAGTATGGTATACGAAATCGTCCAGACAAAACTCTATCTCTGAGCGAATGCAACGTGCTTCCATCGAATGGTAGTGCTCCACAAACCAATACATACAAAACTACTCCCATACTCTGCAAAATATTTTATACAAAACAAAATTATAAATATAGCAAAAAAAAATAAATAAAAGCATAATATTGATTAATCTGATATAGGTAAAATTAAGTTAATAATAATTAATACTGCATGCAGTGTTAACTATTGTAACTATTAACGAAAATAATAGTGTGGTTATCAATTTTTTATTAAAATCCTCACCATGAATTTTCTGCTAGATACCTATATCTAGTATATTATAATTGTAAATAATTCGCAACATTTACCCAAACATCAATCTCGGGACCATAATATTTTTTGCCTTCGAAAACTTCAGGAGCAGCGTAAGGGGGCGATCCACACCAAGTAGCCAACTGTTCGCCAGGAGTAAAATAATTACTAAATCCAAAGTCAGCGATTTTAATATTCATATTAGCATCAAGTAGCAAATTTTCCGCCTTTACAAAAATCTATTCATTAATATTATTCTATAAATTATTTATTTTTGTATTAAACAATTTCGTACTTTTAAGTCTCTGTGTACAACGTGTCTGTTGTGACAATATTCAACCGCTGAGAGTATTTGCCAAAACTTTTTTCTAGCAGCCGCTTCTGTCATTCGACCGTACTTGGCAATGTAATCTATACAAATACAAACATTATGTAATACAGAACAAATTAAATTAACTTCTAATTTATGTTTAGTGAGACTATGAAACATATTATGCGGATATTTCTTTATTTTGTCTTCAAATTAATTTAAAAACTTTATATTTCTATAAACTATTTGAATAAGTATAAACAATAAACATGATCTATTGATCTGATATTAAATATTCATATATATTTATTTAATTCAAAAGACAATTTGAAGACTAAAAATATAGGACTTATACTACCTAAATGTACTATAATAGGTTACAACTTATTTTAAGAGTCTCTGTAAGAACAAATTTGATTTAAGACTGTATGTTTGGATATTTCAAACTAAAACAGTAAACTAATATCTTTAATGTCTATATATTATTAAGGTATTATGATTTATTATGTTCCTGAAATATTTTCACCTAAAATTACCCACAAATATATGAAAATCGAAAAATAAATAATAAAATACAGCATGTTATAACAATTACTGTTTTTATAATAATTATAAAATAACTACATTAAAATAGTTAGAAAATGTTATATTTTAAAACCTAATATTTAAGTACCTATAAAAATTATACACATTGTAGAACATAAAAAAAGAGATTTACCATTTACATAATAACAAAACCCTATTTAATTGATAATATATTGTAATGTATTTACATTGATTTATCGGGACGGGGCGTAAAACTCCCCGTAAAGAATACAACATATAACGTTTTTTAGAATACTATGCTGAATAACTTTATTTATATTATTAATAAAATACATTAAAAAAAAAAATATTCAACATAAGTAGGTATTAACTGTTACGTATACGACCGTGGTATACTGGTAAACTAATACTACTATACTATAGTATCTATATCGTTAAGATACCAGCACCAGTAACATAATAATGTCTATTTGACGGTATAATATTATTGTAGGTATATACGTAATATAAGTTCAAGCTGGTATATTTATATTACAAATTCCTTGATTCAGCTAATACAATATCACACTTATAGACTTATTTCTTTGTTTACATTTTATGACGAAAAAATCATTGTCAAAACAGTTATGTCAGTAGAGTTATGTCTCTATATAGAGACTTAGCGTGGAGTAGGACGAGTAGGTATACCCACCTACATTTTCGCACAAAAAAAATGCAAATAGTATTAGGTATTATAGCTTACCCACCTACTGTAATATGAGTATTTAAGTATTATACTCGTATTATTATTTATTTTATAGTTCTTTTACTGCCACATACAGTTACTATTGTTCTACAAACAGTAAATGTATTCATTGTGATTGTATAATAGTAATGAATATATATATAATATTATACATAAATATGAATTTTACATTTGATTATTAAAGTATATGTAGGTATACTCTCGTTTTGTATAGCGTGAGCGACTGCGGAAAACTGACAGCTAATGACGATATAAAAAGTTGTATCGCCTATACTGTCAATAATATTAAGCTTATAACTTCGCTAGACTATTTCCGATCAATACAAAATAAAAAATATTTAGATAACGACTTTACTTACCTATTCCCTCTATATTTATTTTATAATTTTTTTTTTCGGAAAATGCTATTGTATAGGTACGTACTACTCTATGGTAATAAATTACTAAATTAGAAAACAATAATATATTATCGTATTAAATATAATAAATTTTGAACCTAGGTCGGTTCTAACTTTTTTGTCCCAATAAAGAAGTTTTTTTAAATAGTGTTTATTTAATATTATACAAACACAGTTTTACACTTATATACATATTAATGGTAAACAAGATAATCCCTCGTCTCAGTCGTACCACTAGTAGATTCTAAAAAAATTTTTACAAAACTAAATTTTACGGTTTTTACACTCTATAGAACAGTTGATAAAATATATTATTAATTTTTTTATTCACGACAGCAAAACAAAAAAATATAATGCGAATGAAGAATAGAAAATTGCAGTCTTGAACATAATTTATTGACTATTGTAATTTGTAATATCGATGTTTATTCAAAATAGTTCTATGGCCCAAAATGTTATAATGGCATAGGTATTATATTTTTTGCTTCCAATAACAATAATGATCCGAAACGCCCTAAAATAGGTAACAAGTCATATTATAATAAAACGGTGTATGTGGCGCAGCATATAAATATGATTTTTACGACAGTTTAGGAGAAAACCGAAAAAGCTTGTAATAATGATTTCGTCATTCAATAGAAAGATGTATAACTTACTACACGTCTACACAGTAACATAATATACTTACATACCTGCTGTTAATAATACACGTTTTAGTAACAATTGACAAAAAATATGAAAATAATTGGTACCTATTATATGATGTACGAATTTTAACAACAGACCTATTGATAATTATATATGTATACATAGACGTTTTTTTGTTCATCGACGACCGCATTATCATTTTGTTCGTTTAGTTAATATTTCAAAAACGTTTAAAGAAGGTATATGAATATAATATTTTAAGTAAAATAGGTACATAAAATAAGTCTGGAAATATATTATAATATTGCAGGTTGTCTCGTGTGTTTATTAAACTTTATAGGTATTCTCGTTTATCTGCCTCTCGCTTCTTGCAACTAAGTATTTGAATACTTAATGAAAATTAGTAATTAAAGTTTTAAAATATTTACATAAATTACCTAGCTCTATAAATTGTCTATTTCAGATTTTTAAGAAAACAAACATTTAAAATGTTTTATTTTGAATTAACCTAACCGAAAACTACTGTGAATTATAATACCTAGTTGTGACTTCGTGACTATATAGAGTAGGTAGGTAATAATTATCCAAAATCAAATTTAAAATAAAGCTATTAAAAAAAAAAAATTGTTGATTTAGATAAACATTAGGAAACTATCTGTATAAATATATGATATCTAGAGAAGTTTATATGTACATATATAAACATATAGCCATATAGGTATAATCGAACAGCGTTGGTCATTTAATTGGTACGGTGTGACGGTGACGTCGGCACTATTTTCCTTCACCTACTTACTGTACTATATAGAGTGCCAAGAACATTCCTGCATTGACCTGCAGCAGAAATAATGTCAAAAAATCGATAACCCCTGAAAAAAATCCTTATTCTTTCGATGTAGGGTAAAATATGAAAACCATGCTGTGATTTAGATCGTAGACGATATCGTCATATATCATTAATATACCATTCGATTGGACAATAATATATGTTCAACAACTTAAGCATATTAACGTCACCTTTATGGCTATATATTATAATATTCACTGTCAGTCATCGGGGAAATCAGGGGGGGGAATCGCACATAATTTGAAAAATAATATACAAATCTCCTCCCCCACCTCTTAACCTGCAAGTGATATAGGTATTAAAGATTAGGTGCATACAAAGTAATTATGCGGGTATAAGCGTTACTTTTATATTATCATAGGTTTAAAAAAAAACTGTATAAGTCGTCAGTGCACCGAATAACAGCTAATAGTATATAATATTATTGTGACTTATAGAAGTTCGTTTAGACAAAAGTCAAAAAGTAATAAATTAAATTATGCTATCCGGAAATTTGAAAATTTGTACGTCATCGGGAGTGTCGAGTAGGTAAATATAGGCTAAAATGTAGCCATGTAGGTACCTATAATCTATATAATATTAACATAATATAATATAGGTACATACAGACGGTGGTACGGTAGTACTGATATTAATAGGTACTATACAACTATAATATGACGTACAAATAATATTATAATAATATGTAATGTAATATTATGTTTTGGTATAATCGCGGGGGCAGCGGTGCATTTCGCGTCGTATCAACCGCCCCTGATGACAGCACTGCGGCGGGAAGGGAAAAACGCAACACACCGGCGGCTGTTACACTTTCGGGGGTCGACGCATTATGTACCGCTCGGCGGCGAGGGCGTACAGCGAGCAACCAGCGGCGGTGCGTTGAAGCCGGTCGCCACCGCTCGCACGCGATCAATAAGCTCTCTATAGTACGCGCTCTCTTTAGTTGCTGTTTCATATATATACAAATAAGCTGGCGGGAGGGCGGGCGGGCGCTTGCGCGCGTAAATGTGTGTGTGCATGTGTATGTGTGTGTGTGTGTGTGTGTACGATTGTCGCTAGATCGCTCGCTCGATCGCTCGCTGGCTGGCTGCCCAACCCTTCCGCACCGCCTTTTCGCCAAACGACGACGACGACGACGACGATGCGCGACCACTGCCGTAGCCCACGTTATCCGTACCAAAAGCTCTCCCGTCTTACACCTCGTCACCACCACCGACTGCGCATTTTACACTTTCACCGTGCAATTTAATTTATACTATATTATGTACCTATATAGTAATTCTATAGTAATATACAGAGCGATTATTTTAACGGAACCATATTATTTTGTTTGAGCAGTAATTTTTTTTTTTATTATTATTTTAAATCGTTTAGCAGGAACCCCATATGTATTTATTATTACACTATATATGCAAGAAAAGTAGGGTAGCACAAAGCGGTTAGGTACACTTCGAAATTGGTGGAACGCAACCACACGTTTGTCTATAAAATTTAAATGTTAATAAATTATAAATAAAAAAAATACTATTTCTTCAATATTTGACATGTATATACACAACGGCCATGAACGTATTTAATATACTTACCTACCTAATAATATTCACCTTCAGATTACAATAATACAATAAATATTTATGGGCCATTATTAAAAAATATAATTTAAAAACCTAAAGAATCGTGGTTAAAGAAAAAGTTAAAAAAATTCAGAGTTGAGACTTTTTGAACTTTGAACTGCAGTGCGAAAACATTTGTTCAAAAACACAAAACTTTGGCCGAGAAAATGAACGTAGTTCACTGGGCAAATATCACCCTGCTCACCTAAGCCGTTAAACCATGCAACACACGCACAATACGCGTAGGGAACTATATTAAGAGGCATGCGGGGAATACATAAATGTGTATATGTATACATTTTTTTTATCAGTTGTGCAAAACAGCCAAAACGAGTTAGTTTTGAGATTCCTTTTTGATGTCAAAATATATTATATTTTTTTTAGTTTACGCTATATTCAACACGATAAACTGTCAACTTTTGTGTTTTTTCGATAACGAATTTTACTGCAATATTATATAATAATATGTTGGTTATAATATATTATAGTCTATAGACGCCATATAATACCATATTTTATAGTGTATAATATAGTTTTTCCATTAGAATCCACGGAAAACCACAATATATGAATTCCTCAGCAATAGCTTTAACAATTTATTTTTAAATGTTGATATGGTTGAAGCCACAAAACCATATTATTGGTTTTTTATGGTATAATAGACATTTTATAATATTTACCAAAACATTTTTGGGAAGGGCTCGTATTCTAATACTCAAGAATTCAGAATATTAAATTTATTAATTTTTTTACGTATCTACAATCTACATGTGTAACATTATTGAAAAACACACATGACACATATTATATTATATTTGATACACATTTCTTTAAGATCAAGAAAAAAAACCTTGAAAATAAGACTTATTTAATATAAATACCTAATACAGGGCATAGGCACATGTTTTATTTTCTATTATCACTTTCTTACCTGGTAAAAAAACCTCATAAGTTATATATAATATATTGAGTTACAGTAGTTAAGATTAGAAATCGAGTGTAGTTGGTTCAATATAGATACTTACCTAATTACTTTAAACTTTAAAGGAGTCATTTTTCGATTAATTATGTAGAATTTTAAATCTGTATTTGTATTTTGTTGATATAAAACTTTGTGGTTTACCAATTAAAGTTTTATTCAACCATATTTAAAACATAGTTATGTACACTATACGATATTATTAGGTAGGTTAGATGTATTGCTACATATTACGTACTGTCTCAATATGTATAGGTGGCATATTACAAATGTGTATTAGTATCTGTCTGCCCCATACATCGTTAATCATAAAATTTAAAAGTTTATAAACAGTAAAGTGCTTAAGTGCATACCTATAAATGTTAGAGGAGTTTCAATTTAAAAAATAATGTTGAATACGAATTGTACATAAAATCTTAAGCTCAAAAAACTATTAATGCCACCGGGAATATCATATATTTTCAACCTCCAGGGGTTATCCTCCATACTTACAAAAAAATTCGAAAGAATGTTATGCATTATAATATTTCCATGAAATAAAATTAACTTGTTAAACGGGAGTTACATTTCAACTAAAATATAACAATTATTAAATCATAGCAGAATATTATAATGTAATATAACAGACAATATAGTGATTGTTGAAATCCGTGATAAAGTAGATAATAATAAATTAAATATAAGTCTTCTTAATATTCAAGGTTTTGTTCAATAACAGTTTATGGTTATTATTTTAAGCTTTCGCCTTTCGCGGTGGTTTTCCAAATACCAACTAACAATAATGATTCTGTTTTTTCGTGTAAATTTTAACTAGTGTTTTAAAAAATAGTATACTAATTATGATTTACTATGATGAATACTTGAGTCATAGTATAACGAAAATATAATACTCATATTTGGCCAGGGTGGTTGAATACACCTGTTGTGTATCAATGTATGAAACACATACCTATTTATTATTATCAATGACATAAAAAGTATACAACTTGGTAAAGTTTCTAATTACTTTCTATTATATTCGTATAGTAGGTACTAAAAATCTCAATACATTATCACATTAATAATAAATTATTTGTGAGCTAAAATATGTTTGTAAAAATATATTATTAATATTTATTTTTAATATTATGTTGTAAAATGTTCAGACAAATATTAAATAATCAATATTGATTTAAATCTTTATATTACAGAAAACATTTTTAAAAATTATAAATATCATCCCTATTGTTCTTACAATTTATATTTATTTATATTAATTTAAAAAAATATAGTATAGATGCACTATCTTATTACGTCAAAATTATTGTTACTTACCAAATATTTCTCCTTGACTGGCATATTCCGAAATAATATATATCATATCTTTTGATTCCATAACCTATTTATAACAATAATTATTTCGTTCTATATATATATAATTTCTCTTAATAATTAGTAGTTTAAACCCATTCTAACTATCTTAATTATTTAACTACACCAAAAATTTAGTTTTACGAAAATGTATAACCCTCTACATATATAGGTATTATAAGTATAATTGAAGTTTAAAATTATACATTTAAAATAATTATTTGATTACTATGTATTAATTTTGAATGTTTCCAAAATACTAATGATGTGTACCTATACAGTAATCTGAATCACCTATAAATTGAGTTTGATCTAAAAAAATAAACTATCGAGTATCGGAATATCTAAAATAGTAAGATAATCATATAGGTAATATAAAATAATCCAAACATCAAATTTTACATGTTCTACCGCAATTTTAACGAAGTCAAAATAATCCAATTTACTTATATTAAAAAATCAGTAATTGTGATTTACACTGAATACTTTTTTCAGCCATGGCGAGTTTAAACGATTCACTTACCTACATAACAAAGTTTTTTTTCTGTTTTCTAAGAAATAAAATTATTATATCTTATCATGAGTGTAAGACATGAGTGTATGTTACCCACAGATTAAAATGTTTATCAATACTCAAAAGTCAAAACGTTATTAAAACATATGATCATAATATCTAAATGCTAATACAGCTTATATATTTATATTATATTCAATTTTTAGAGAGGTATAAATAAAACGTTTTTTACGTGATTTAAAATAATAAGTTTAAGTAGATACGTCATATTATTATCTAATGAATTTATTGGAAGTTAACTATATGTAGATTGTAAATACTAAGAGTATTCATTTTTATGCGAGTGTTTAAATAAGGTTATTTGGGCATCATTACATAGCACATAGCATGTAATGATCAACATTTTGAATTTTTTTAATATACCCCATTCAATTAAGTAATAAAAATTATTAATTTAATTTAATAATTAGAATTATAGATTTAAATATTAACATTAAACTTCTTTTATACGATAAATACTATTTAGTTGTTTTTTTTTCAGAACTTATACAGTGACTTTTAATATTTAAGGCTATACTATTTTACAACTTGTTGAAACTAAATTATACATAAATAATTTTTTTTCGTAAAAGAAAAATTAAAAATAAATATTACTTTAACGAAATTATTGAAATTTTTTTTTTTGTCGAACATAATTTATCGCTCAGTAATAGTATTCAGTTACTTACTGTATAATAAAGTCTGTAAAAGTATAATAAACATAGTTTTTCAATAGTCAAATACCGAGACAATAAATTCAAAAATAAGGACATTTATTTGAAAACCTCACATTATTTTAAGAAATAGATTTTCATTTTATTTTACCCACTTGATATAGTTTAATGATGTGAGGATGGTCCAGCTGTTTCATAATATCTACTTCACGATGAACCTTTTCCAGATTAACTGCATCCAATTTCCTTTTATCGATCATTTTTATAGCAACCTGAAAAAACCAAATAAAATAAGTCATCAAAATATATATATACCCATTACCCACACATTTTTCAAACGAAATATCTATCATGTATACAAAGCTCGTAAAATGAAATGACAAAAACATATTTATCAGTCTTAATCATAGATATATATTATTATTTTTTTTTTTTATAATGTAAGCATTATAGTTAATAACTTATATAACTAATAAGATATAAAGGTCAGTGCTATGTATTTAAAATTAAGTATGAAATGAATATACATCAAATTTATTAATTATACGTCTATAGTCTTTACATATAGTAAAAAAATACCAAGGGGGGGGGGGGGGTTGAACATTCAGTCTACCACCTGTGTACTGCATTACCTAATTATAAGGATGCCAAAATATATATTATAGTTATTAGTTTAATATTAACAAAATAAGTCAATTTAGAATTTACCAATTATTTTATCATAAACTATTATTATTATTTATTACCTATAGGCTATATTACATTTTTATTTTTACCTACCAACTTTTTATATTATTTTGTACCATTTTTTTCTTACGCTTCAGTCATTAAAAAAATATAAAATATCCATAACTATATTTAATACACAATTTAATATAAAATAATATTTAATTTAATTCGGATACTTTATAGTTAATACATTTTAAATAACAATATACGGCGTGATTGCGAAATACCACAAGCAAAAAAAAAAAACATTATAGATTTTAGTATTTATTGATTTATCTTATATCATGTAACTTTTGAACTGTAATGTACCATTTCATTATTGAATTCTAAGTTTTATTAACCAGCAAGAGTATATAATATCTAGTACCTATATTTTTAATTTATTTAATAAACAAATTAAAGCAAATTAAAACTTAATCAATTTTAAGCTGAGTATTTACTTAAAAATCTTAATACTCTTCGGTGTTCAGACTGTATACACAAGATATGAACAATATATTAATAGATAATATTAGATTCAATGTAGTTCAAACCTCATAAATAAATACCTAGTGTGGGTTGAAATAATATCCCCACATACCTATACATATAATGCACTCTGGTCTCGGTTAGTGTACGTCAACATTCCAAATAAGATAACTCTGGCATCAATACTAAAATAAAACAAAATGCTTACATAAAAAATAAATGTATATTTTTAATTCTGAAAAATAAAAATGTTACTGTACAAACCACGAGGTTTAAATGACATTTAATTTAAGTAATATTCAATACATTTCTAAGCGAATCAAAATCTAAAAATAAAATTATTAATTTATCGCCAAAATTTAGAATTGGCAACATTCTATTTTAGAGTTTTATAATTTAAAAAAAAAAATAAATTTATTGATACTCTACAGCAGTACAATTATAATTATAACGATTACTGTACGGTTTCAATTGTAAATTTGTATTTACTATTTAGTACCTACCTATACGTTTTACATTTACAATAATTATTATTTTTGTTTTAAATAATTCATTACATTTAAAATATACATTATTTTTTTTATACCATAAATTAAGACATATGAAAAAATAAAGAAATACATTTTAATTAGTTTATGATTCGATTTAAACAATATCTTGAACAAGCCACAAGGACATATATTATACCTACATAAAGTTACATTCTTCCAACCTTTTTGAAGAAGTAGGTAATTTCAAAAACTATGACGATACTAAACTGTTTTAAAGTTTAAACATGCTAAAACCAGATTATGGTACTTACTCCCAATTTAATGTTTTTAAATTATTTATGATATCATTCTAACCTCATCAGGTCACCATGAAAAAATGTTATGCATTTCCAAATTATAAGTGATGTAACTAAGAATTTGTAATGATGTATAAAGTAAATAATGTAATTTGTAAAATACCTAGAAAAATGTACAAATGTAACAAATATACAATATAGGTTATGTATACTATACGCGTATATTGACAAACTGAAAGCTTGAACAATGCAATGAAATTCTCCGTGCACACAACCCATAACTAAAAACCCCCAATCCTATACTCTCAATTCTATAGAATGTGGAAGTCTTATACGATACATACATGATACACATAAGTTCTATACACCCAAACAAATAGTGGCGATTTGGCGATTCACATAGTGCTATTATATATTTAGAAATGATTTTTATTTTTTACCACGCGTATACCTCTCGAACGTACGAAATCGTAGCTTTTACGTCACTCTGGTAAAACGTCTCACGTGCAAAACGACTAGTGACGTGTATTCGATTTATTGGACAAGCAAGTTTTACCATACCATATTTTTTTTAAATTATCATGAATTAAAAAAAAATATTTCACCAAATGATGATTAAAAATTCTAACATTGAATGTTGAAGTAAAAATTATGTTTATAGTTACTTAATAATATTATTTACAAGTTACAACTAAATTGGGTATACACAATTCGCATGATTTTGTTTCATCTAACCCCTTGACAATAATAATTTTGAATGTTGTCCACACTTGTATCATTACTTTAGTATTTTAGTTTTATTTTATATTATTAATCCAAACTGTATTACGAGTTATAATTTATATACCAACCATTTATATTCCAACTCATATATTATTATATACTTAGGTGTATGTAACCTACACTTATATCGAACTAGTAAATAAGTACATATAGTATATTTATTTAAAAATAAATCGACATATGTAAATATTATGTTAATAATTTATGATAATGATTATGATATAATAATGATATATTTAAAATTTGTTATGGTATCAGTTAAAATAAAATATCAAATTTCTTACTGATTATTAAATAAAACTTGAATATAATTTACCTATTTTATTTATTTTTCAATTTTTTTTTTTCAATAGGTATAATGCAATTCTATTGTATACCCTTCTATAGGTTTTTTTAATTGGTACTTATAACTTCAAATGTTAGAGTATAGAACATTTATATTTGTTTTGTGTTGTTCATTTATACTAGAAATTTTTAATCATCTACTATCCACAATCCACATCATACATAAAAATATCTGTAGAGTATAGCCGTATAGATATTAATGTATATTGTAAACTGTGTATAAATAATAAAGCACTTCATACTTCATAGTAAAAAGTTACATTTGGCATCTCTCCTTAATCGCTTTCCACGAGGTGTCGCCACTGGATGACTTCCTCCTCCAGTCAATCAAATTTCATCAAATTTACTTATTGTATAACATGTAAATTTAGATAATAAATAAATAAATTTTGTTCAAAAAAAAAAATTAAAAAAGGTACCTATATAACTTAATACTATATACCTACCTACATTAAAACAAATCACAGAAAACCCGACTATAGATTTAAAATGATATAACATTACGTTTTTTACATAGGTAATACAATATTATACTATGGTGTAAATTGTTCTATGTTGTATTTTGTTTATATATTACAAATGGCATTTAGTTCTAAGAAATCCAGATAATTTATTTACTCAATAACAGACGATAAATTATAATTAATTAATATGTTTGACCGTGGTGAAATATTTTGATTTGTAAAAGTCGAAAATATTAAAACCTAAAAATCAATTTCCATAATTTCTATGAAAAATTATTTAGTCCAAAAAGCTCATTTTCAATTCCGTGCTTTATCTTTGTTTGATACTACTGTTGGTTAGGTTAGGCTAGCGACATCGACGGCACTTTTTAATACTTATAACACTGCGGGAACTCATGTTTACATATTACTGAAGCATACATAATGTAGTTAAGGGGCGACATAAATCCACGCCTCCCTCCCACTCGCTTAATACTTTTATCGTAATTTGTAAATTTCCAAGCAAAATAAAAGTTCAAGATAAAAATAAAAGCAATTTTGACAAACACATAAAATATAAAACAATTGTCATTTACTTAAAACAAAATAATGCTTTGATAATTATTTGAATTTATTTCCCCTATCTTAAATCTTTTGGACAAACCTGTGTAATGTGTAAACATTGTTTTAAAATTGTAAGCAAAAATATTAATTTCACATTTTAACTGAAAAATAACAATATGAAACATATACTTAAAACTTAAGTCTAAAATACGTTGCAGAAAAATTATATTTACTACAGTTTTGTTAGGCTGAAATATTGTACTCAATATACCTACAGTCATTTTTTTTTCATCATGAACCATGGGACATTGGGAAATACAAGTTTTTTTTAACATATTAGTATTTAACATTATTTTGTTAAAATTATTTATTGTTAATACTAAAATAAAATAAAAGGTAAGTAAGTGGGTTTCGCTCTGCTGTACAGTAGGTTACAAGTCAACAAGTGGGTCACTGTATTGACTAATGGATGGTGTTAAATTTAAATTCAATAATATTATAATAGCATTGTATACAAACTCGATTCTGAGCGAAGACGGTTAGTCAGCCTAGATGTTAATATATTATTAAGGATATTTTATAATAGTATTATGAATAAAGTAGGTAATTTATTTACATACCTATTTACGTGAAACCTTGTTTTAAATTTCCAATCCTTAGCTATAAAAGTTTAACATTTTATAAATTTGTTAACTACAAAATCATTTTTAAATTTTAAGTTTGATACATTTTGTCAAAATTTGAACTTTAAATGCTTATAAAAAAAACTATGACTATGTATTTTTAATACTTTTCAACTGCTATTGTAACAATATACATATCAGGAGCCTTGTATTAAATTGTCAAGCTTTTTGACCCAACTCATACAATTTTATTGACATTTATAGAAAAAAAAACGAACAAATTGAAAATGTCCATAAATCCCTCTAAACAAGTCAAAATAATTTGAGAATTTTATCGTGTATAGAAAATGCTAATATAAACATTCAGTGAAAATTGCATGTATCAACGGTTATGTGTTATAAAGTTACACCAAAAACCAAAACCGATTGTTGAAAACCAATTTTGCATTAAAATTACCATTTTTCCTTTTTTAGATTCTGAGTGGAGCAATGAATGTATTGATTTTACAATGATCTGTGTTTTTTAAAATTTTTAAATATTTAAATATTTTTATTTTTGCATCTGTCGTCGCCTTTTAGGACAATAAAAATGCATAGATTTTTTCAACAGTATCTTTTCTGATAGGAAAGTGAATCTAGTTGGTACTTTGGGGGGGGGTCAAAAGTAAATTTCCCAGTAGTTTTCAAAAGCACCGTTAAAAACAAAAGAAAAATTAAGGAAAAACGAGAATTTTTACTTAAATCTGTTTTCGAGACAATCAATTTTGGTTTTTGATGCAACTCTAAAACAAATGACCGCAGATACATGAAATTTTGACTGGATGTTTATATTAGAATTGTCTATACACCATAACATTTTCCAAATATTTTAAACTATTTACGGACATTTTAGTTTCCCTTTTAGATTCTGAGCGAAACGATTGATGTATTGATTTTACAATGATGTGTGTTTTTTTTTGTGTGTGTCATCACGGTTTCTGGCAGTAAAACTGCTTCGATTTTCTTCAACTGTATCTTGTTCGATGGGAAAGTGAATATAGTAGTTGGTGTATTCAGGAGGTCAAATTTTAAAATTCCCAATAGTTTTCAAAAAGCGACGGGAAAAACAACATAAAAATTAAGGAAAAACGGGAATTTTTACGCAAAATAGGTTTTCTACAACATCGATTTTGGTTTTTAGTGTAACTCGAAAACAAATGGCCTTAGCGCCCTTAGGTACATGAAATTTTGACTGAATGTACTAATTTGCATTTTCCATACACGATACAATTTTCAATTGTATTTTGATTTGTTTTGAATTGTTTAGGAACATTTCCAGTTTCCAATTGTATTAGTCTTTTTTCAATAAAACTTTATTTGTTGGGTAAAGAAGCTTGAACATTTAATAGAAGGCTCCTAGTATATTGTTTCAAAGGCAGATGAAAAAAAATCAAAAATTCATAGTCGCAATTTTTTTTTAAGCATTTAAAGTTCAAATGTTCTTGACAAAATACGGAAAAATCACGAAAATTAGCAAATTATTTTGAGTTGAGAATTCATAAAAATTTTTGTTCTTAAATCTATGATTTTAAAATGTAATACAAGAATATTCATAAGTTTATCTACATTTATCAAAAAAAAAAATGTCTACAAGCAAATCAAATTTAATTTTTATGAGCGTTTGAAGTTAATAGTTTTATAATATTGGATATTCACTCGATTTCTAGTGTAGCAGTAAATAATTATTTTGTAGTTAAAAATTTATAAAATGTTCAACTTTTATAACTAAGAATTGAAAATTTAAAACAAGATTCCACGTAAATAGGTTATAATATATAAATTACATTATTCACAATAATATCATCAAATATATGCTTAGTAATATCATAGGCTGACTGACCGTTTTCTCTCAGAGTCGTTTTTCTTATACAATGATATTATATCATTGAATTCAAATTTAACACCGTCCATTACAGTGACCCACTTGTAACCTACTGTACAGCAGAGCGACACACAATTGCCCACCTTTTTTAATATACATTGAAGTTTTACAGTGTTATATCATGATATTTTATTTATCATTTTTACTGTTTAAATAACAGTTATAGATTCCACTTATAGTGGCAGCTTCAATAAAGGTTCTCTTATATCTAAACTCATTTTATTTATACTATTATAGTATTATATAGGTAAGTATTAAGGGTGATGACTGATGAATAATATTTTCCTCCGGGGACAATTTTGTAATGTAACTGTAAAAGTGTGTTAGAGATACTCTTATAAATTATAATACATTATTTTTAAATATTGGTAAATTTTCGTGAGAATAGAATAGTACCGTCATTAAAATTCAACCAATGTTATTTTATGATATTTAGTATCTAGGTATTAAAAATACAATCCCTGTACATATATTATACATACATTAAAATTACTTAAGTAAATTCACATTAACCATCAAAGAAAAGGAAATATTTTATCTTATTTATTATAAAATAAGTTTGTAATGAAAAGAGATGAAATTAATTTTATAATCGACATTTTAAATTATAAATAATAATAAAAAAAAATGTTAATAAGTAATACCTGTATGTACCCACCAACGTCGATTCAATATAATATGCTCTTAGGACCTATCTATAAGTAAATTCAAAAGAAAAATAAGTTCCATAATAATGCACTCCGTAATAATTAACTTCTACAAGAAAAGTCATATATTATTATAAAATTCATAGAATATAGATAATATACAAATGTATAAACTATAAAGAGTTAAGTTGATTAAAGTATGTTTTAATTAACTTGTACCTATTTAAAATTTAAATTATAATAACCAAAGTAGATATTAATATAGGTATACCTAACCTTTAAAAACGTAATAACACTCAAAGTTTAAATAACAAGTTTTATACATTGATTCAATATAGAAGTTATTTTTGAAATGTGAATTTAATTAGATGGTGTAATTTATATGTATACACTATACAGTATAGTAGTATAACCCATTATATTTAGGTTTGTATTACCCACCTTTATTTTCTACTATAGTAACAGCTAACAAACATATTAATTTTTAGATTACCTAAAAGCGATAGCGAGTATAATTATTGGTTGTACAATAAAATATAATTTTTTCTGAACACACTTTTTAGTGTTTTAAAAATGTCATTTTATGTGATAACTACATTAACATCATCATTATATGTAAACTTGCAACAGAATAAATATTGAAAAAATGTTAAAGAGTTTAAATTTTAATTATGACAAATATTTAGCTTCCACAAGGGTACTATTTTAATTAATTTATTAGTATTGTTTGAGAACTGAAAGTGAATTAAATAAAAAACATTGTTCTGGACTTTTTTCATGGAGAACATTATAATACACTCTGCGATGTGTAGCACTTAAAATCCAATAAATAGATGTCTATAATAACTTAATTCGTAGCTATTATTATGTATGAATATAATAATAGTATCTATATTAATTTATTTTTTTAAATATAAAAACTTTATTTTAAAGATAAGACATCAAAAAATTTAAACTAATCTGTTAAGCCAAATAATAAATAATATTTATTTGTATAACAATAAATATTACTACTCTATTATTGATATTATATTTATATTATATTTATTTGTATTTTATTTGTATTACTTATATATTTATTATCATCATTCATTCGTTTGTTCATTAGTATTATTTAAGTGTAAAATTTATAACTATATTTAATCAGATTATACATACCCATTGGCGCAACTAGGGGGGGGGGGTGCTAAAAGGTCTTTAACACCGCAAGTTCTAATTTAATACCCCTTGTTTTTTTAAATCTAACCATCATTATTATAGTGAAATTCCATACATTTTATGTTTTTAAATATATAGCACCCCATGTTTTAGAGGTTTAGTTGCGCCTATGTACATCCCTGAATGTGTATAATAAAAGTTGAAGGATTGAACTTAATTTCTTGTCAGGTGGCACTGGCGCACTGCTGGGAGCCTTTCTACTTTACAATTGATGTTCCTACGTCATATGTAATTTTATGTCACCACACTTACTCATTATACCTGTATAATGTATATGGATTGTAAATATTTTTTTAAATAATAATAAAAAAAAAAGGATTGAACTGTAAATAGACATAATTAAATATATTATATTTATTTGTGTTTTGGTTTTATACTAAATCACCTTCAGCAACCACCCACGCATTTGTTATTTAAATCCCTACCTACAATTGGAACAATAAACGTAAGCATTGAGTAGTTAACTATATACTCTATAGTTTATATAGTATATTCTACAGAGCATAGACTATCACTATATAGGTACACACGTCGTATTTTATATGCGTGCCATATGATAATAATGACTGAAACGAACCGTTTAATGACAGTAAAAAATATATATAGCGAATAAAATAATAATAGTACTATCATCGTCCACTCGCGTGTGCAATATGTGCAACGTAACGTCATATTAGCCATTAGTTGGTGTATTTCACTATATTTGTTTAAGTCTTAAGTGCTGTGGAAGCTATGCTCAGTGGCGTACTAAGACCATTTTTTTTTTTGGGGGGGGGGGGGGGGGTATTGGTTGTTATTATTGACCAAAAAAACTATCTCTTAATAAATAAATACTTTCTACAACTTCTAGGGATTCCTAAAATTATCCCTAAACTCCCCCCTCCCCGTTAGAACAGCACTCTATGCTTTTCAGTTCCTACACCCTCTTAACTATTGCATGTTGGTATATACTAATATACTATATTATTTTACCACTTATACATAAATAAAATTATACATATGTTACATGCAATTAACAACATTTTCGCCAGATCCTCTTCTTATTCATGAAACATGTTTTTAACATGCAGTTAGCATTAACACACTTGTTAGGTATATTATAGGAGCATACATTTTTTTTATTCATATGTGACAAAAAATATACGTTTAATTATCATTACGTTATTGTTAACGACGTTAACGTGTTACCTATCAGATACCTAAGGATTTTATTAGTAATATATACAACGCCCACCAATGTTTACTTTTTCACAAATATTTTGTCTTTTAGGTTCTGAAAGAGGAGTGTTTAATTTAAATTTGATTTTTAACAGTCTTAGATGGTAAATAATAGGTACCATGGTAAACAAAGCGGATTGAAGAATATTATAGAGAGGATAAATATTTTTGGGTACAATTAAGTAAGATTATCCCTTTATAAACATAAGACCTTCAGCCTTCCCCTTACCAACCCATCCCCCCCCCAAAAAAAACGAAAAATTAAAATCGTGCCTATATAATATTTTGTGGTAAAGATTACCATCGAAACCTTGTATTCGGGATATATTTTTATCTTAATGGCACCGCACTAATACGGAGCGAGCGCATATTTAGTGATGTGCTTATTGTCCACTTGCCTCGCTTCTGACCAGTCGGTGCGTGGCCAATCGGACCTCGGCGAAGTTGCCTTTGCCGATTCGCCGGTCGATGGTATAGAACCCGATAGTGTCCGGTTTGCAGTCCATCATCGCGTGTCGCCGGTAGTCTGTGGTGTGGTTCCGCAGTGCAGTTACGCCGCCCTGTTGCGGGGGACGGCGATTGAACGTTCTGTGGTCCAGGCAATACGCGACGCGAACGACGCGGCATTGGTGCTACCGCCGATGCTACGGCGATAATCCGACGCGGTCCGCATAACGCCGGTTGTTGTTATACAATATTGCAATATTTTTATTATTGCGGCGATAACACACCGACGGGTCCGGCCGCGCGTGTTCCCGAGTATGATATCCTAATGTCGATGGTTATGACAATGTTGCCCGGCATGCGATACGGCATGAGCGGCCGATTTAGGTTCGGCGGCGTCGGGACCGTAATAATATTATGAATGCGCTGAGGCGCGGATCACCGGCAGTGCTCTGCGGTGGCCGGCTAACGCGCGCGCCGGTACCGCTTTCGCGTATGCCCGTCGTCATCCCCGCCAGCGCGCGCCCGTGACGTCAAAGCGTGTCGGCTAGGCGCCGTGCGGCGGAAAGCGCAACTATAATACGCGGTTGCGGCGACGGCGGTGCGCGGTGGCGCGAGGCGGTCAGGTAAACGGTGCACCGTCTTCTCGGATATCCAGAAAATTGAATTATAGACACCACTTAACGGCTATTATAGGTATACAATTTATATAACCGCACCACTGAAACACTATACCAGCTGTCCGCGGTACATCGCGTGTTATAGATACCGTATTATGATAAGTGCAGCGTTTGAGCGTTATAGCGGTACAGATTGAATATAATATCTTTTACGCCGAATCGTATTTCTTACATCGAATGCTGTACCTACCGATAAAAACCACTCGTTTAAACGGTTTAAAGTATTCACTTGTTTTGGGTTAAGGTTTTAACGGATTTCTCTGAGTCATTCTCATTCATATTACAATATTATTATCATACAATATTATACAAAACCATTCATTCATTGGATGGTAAACACTTAACAACCAGTCTACTTTCAAATATTAGATTTTGAGAGGGTCAACGAATGTATTAATTTTACAATGTGTTTTTTATTTTTTTTTGTGTGTCCCTGAACGATACTTTATTTGGGTGAGGAAACTATAATATAGCCTATATAATACACAACGTATATTCTAAAACTGAAACTGAATAACTATAAATAAAACTATAAATGTACGGGGTGAGAGAGGATGAGGATAAACAAAATTCCAGAGGCGATTTAGCCACCTTAGCCCCCCTCCCATCATACGCCTATATGGCTATATAAACAATAAGTACTATTTCAGTCAAATAACAATGCTTCGCTTTTCCGTTTGTTTTCTGGTAGTGAATCTAGTTGGTGCATTTGAGAGGTAAATATTGAAGATTCCCAGTCATTTTTAAAAGCTTCGGGAAAACCAAAAACAAAGTAAGGAATTAATGGAACTTTTGTGCAAAAACCCAGTTTTTAACAAAATCAATTTTATTTTAAATTTTCAGAGTAACTCTAAAAAAAATATCAGTAGATACGTGAAATTTTCTCCGAATGTTTATACTAGCATTTTCTATACTCTATTCGAGTAAGTTCTGTTCTGAAACGTAGACGGCGTCCAACTTGTGATCAGGGGAGTGGCGATTCTACACTACAGGTATACTGATAATTGACTGAGTGGGGAGAAAAACGGGTATTGTCAGACGCCCTGACTGGGGCCCAACGAAAATTAGTCGCTGCAAACAGTGTTTCTAAACTGAACTGAGTATAATATCAACCATACAATTTTCAAAATATTGGTTTTTGATGAAAGTAAAAAAATAACCTTAGATACGATACTATGATTTTTTCTTGATTTCATTTTAACATTACTGTATACACCATAACAGTTTCAAAATATTTCGACTTTTTTTTTGGTATTTATATAGAGACAAACAATTTTCTATTTTTATTAGTTTTTTTAAATAATTATTGATGAAAAATTGTTTGCACGGTCAAAAAACTGAAAATTTAATCCGAGATTCCTAAAGAGTTTTTCTATCTTTAACAAAAACAAATTAACTTAGATATTTAAACGAAGAATAAGTGCTGTAGTCGTAAAAAAAGCAGAGGGTATACTATATAGGTATATATACGATATACCTAACTTATAAGTTATAAGTTATAACCAATCATCATTTGGAGTTTTGGACTTTAGCCTTTTGGTATACATATAGACATATAAACATATTATGTACAAATATAATATATATATAATTTTATATTCACCCACGTGTAACACTCACCTACCGTTAAAAAACCTACAGTACCAACCCCCCTACCAATGGCCTAAGTTTCCGCGGGATAATTAATAATAAAAAAAAAAAAATTGTATATTATTTCACTACAATTATTCGGGCATACGGCTATAACCAGAACTCAGAAGGTTTATTCGTGTTTATTCGTAATGATCAGGAAGTATCCCGCAGTACACCCTCCACTACAGCACTGCGAATAACTTGTTGTAACTCAAAAACTTTATTTGTGGGGATTCATAAATTATAAATTATAAATTTTAATATACCTATGCCATAACATTTTTAAAATATTTAGATTAATTAAAAACTATATTACTATAATATATTTATATAATATACCATAATTCCTTATATCCACACCATGAACCTATTAACACTGTTCTACGATAGGGTGCCATTGACTAAATATCAATAATAATACTTAATATAATATTATGATAGAAATATTGATAAAACTGAAAACATAACATAGAATACCAGTTCTTATGAGTTATGACTAGTGATAACTACTAAACTACCTATCTGCTGCAAATCCGTTACCTACCCTATTTCGCATAGATACAAGAAACTGTGTTTTAAATATAATTGAAATGATTATTTTCGTTGTCACTCGTTTAACAAAAATACCAAATGCACAATGTAACTGTCGTACAGGTACGCATTTTAATACAAGTCATTTTCTCTCGTGGAATTTATTAAACGCATTAAAATATGTAGCCATATCCATATGTAGGTACATGAAAGTGATATGGCCAGGATTTTGCTTGCGTGGGGCCTTGGAGAGTGACTAATAATATTTTTTATGTTGTAGCTAATAGGGAATGCTTAATTAGAATCCTTCATAAGTTTGGTATATGATCCACATACTGAGATACCAAGGGTTTAGGTACCATAACATTATAGACTTTTTTGCCACTTTCATACAAATTACTATTTTTGAATACATTGTTACGCCTTAATATGTAATACGTTCAAAAAACACTGAGAGCATATTTAAATATTCCTAAAATTTCGGAGAAGGCATCAGCCACATTAGCCCCCACCCTTATTTACGTCACTAGTATACCATGAAAACATGACGCATATATAGGTCAACTCTCAAAATAATTAGCGTTAGTTAAGTTACTACTTGGAAGACGTGCGGTACGTGGCCGGCTCGTTCCGGACGTGCTTCGAGGAGTCGTTCTGCTTCGCTCTGATCGAGCTGCTCAACCGGAACCTGGGCCCGTCGTCCAACGTGATGTGCTCCATGTTCTACGAGCGGTGGCACAAGATCGCCGGTCTAGCAGGCCCCGAACGGACACTTCGGTTCCTTGATAACACCCGGGACGAGGTGCAGCTTGCCGACCGCCGCGGTCTGTCCCGGGTCGTCTGGTATGCCGCGCCCGCGTCCGTGGCCGCGTACGCCTCGATGTCGCAGATCTACATGATATTATGGTGGAATGTGGTGGCCACGTACTGGTTCAACGGCATGGGCCAGATGGTCGTCTACATACTGGTGTTCGTGCAGTACTACGTGATTGCCCGTGAGTTCAGTCGGGTCAACGACATGGTCGAGGCGCTGCACGTGGCCCACGACCCGGTGTCCGAGGGACGGTCGCTGGCCCGGTTGACCAGCGTCTACGGCGAGCTGTGCACGCTCGCCGGCTACGTGAACAGGGCCTACGCGCCCGAGATTCTGCTACAGTGGGCCAGGGGCCTACAATATCATCCGCGTCATCATGGTCGTGTTCCGACTGATGGAGATCGCGTCATCACTGGACAGCCCCATGGCCTGGGTCACGCCTTATCTGCTGGTCCAGCACTTGGGCGAGCTGTTCATATTCGTGCTGCACACGTCGCGTGCACGTTCGGCGACCACCTGTCCAGCGAGGCACCTGCCTATATTATGTATTGTATTATCGTGTCTTGAAGTATATATTATTGTAATACCTATAATCGAAAGTGCGCCGCCACCTGGGCCCGGTTCCGTAATTTGGTTCACATTTTTGGTATCGTAAACTTTCTTAATGTTACAAATTACAATAAAATACGAATGTTAAATCCCCATCTTCTGTATTTCAAACGGCCTCGCAGTTCTCTGGTACAAAAATGTGTATAAAGCCCAGTTCTCAACATTTAAAAAAAAATTGTAGGTAAACTAAATGTTATTAAACTAAAACTAATTCTCAAGTCTCAACTTAATATAAATAATACCTATTAAACGAGTTTACCTATCCGCATAGTACAAATAAATTCATAGATTAAGGGCGTCGGAGCCGGTGCCTTTTTTGAAGGTACAAAAACATGTCTTACAGGAAAAACTCTCACGAGCTGTAGAATTGTCGGATTTCGTAATTTTTTTTTTTTAAGAAGAGAGCAATTTGCAGGTCGGATCAAAGACCGATTTTATTAGTTATAATTATAGAAGTTAAAATATGAATTCTATCAATGCACAATATTTATTCTTTGTCAAACTAAGTTCAAATTTTGACAAAATTCATCAAAATCCCGAAAATTTGACCTATAGCACATCTATTACATTGACATGCTCGAAAACAGCAGAGCGGTACCCACTTATCCACTTTATTATTTTAAATGGTACATAATTATACAATTATATATAACCATAAAATGATTGTAGGTAATTAAAAATATGAATAAGCAGGTTGAAGTTTGAGAGTTGAAAGTGGAACTTTTATATGTCTGGTATTCCGTTGTGCATATCTGGCTTTCTCAACAAAATACGTAATTGAACGTGTAACAAAAAATAAAACCAGGGAACTCGGTCTGCTATGTATAGTAGGTTCTACGTAGGTTTCAAGTGTACCTCGTCAGTCGTCATTGAGATTACTGCATAATGCAGGAGCGTCATTAAGGAGTGGAAGAAGGGGCCAGTCACCAATCATACTTGATAGCTTTTTTTCATTTTTTCATTTTTGCTCCACCCAGAATATGTTAATGGTTTTTTTTATGTGTACACGATGAATAGTATAAAAAAATATTAATTTTCAAACAATTTTTTCTGCTGGACGAAAGTAACCTAGCTATAAAATTTGAACATTTTATACATTTTTTACAATAAAATAATTTGTAAATTCAATTTGATAAATTATGACAAAATTTGAATTTTAAAACCTTATAAAAAAATCATGCCTATGTATTTTTAATATTTTTAAGGTGATATTGAAACAATGTGTGAGGAGCCTTATTGTATTAAATTTGCAAGCCTTTGGATCCAAAAAATAAAATTTAGTTGATATTTATAAAACAAAAAGCCAAAAAATTGAAAATTGAAAATATCATTAAATAGAGTGTATAAAAAATGCCAATATAAACATTCAGTGAAAATTTCAAGTATCTACTGTAATTTGTTTTAGAGTTACCTACACCAAAACCCGGTTTTAACTGAGCGGACAATTTTTTATCGACACTAATCTTAAAAAAAACTAACAAAACTAGAAATTTTCTTATGCCTATAAATATCTCAAACAAAATTGCAACATTTCGAACATTTTAATAGTACATAGAAATTCGCTAATATAAACAGTCTGTGAACCTTTCATGTATCTATGGTAATTTTTTTAGAGTTAGGTAAACTAAAAAAACCAAATCACGTACCTACTAATTACTTATGTGTTAAATACTTAAATTTGAATTCAGTGAAACAAAATATAATTGTATACGAAAAACTATTCTGAGCGGAGACGGTCTGCAGTCAGCCTATATTACTATACAGTACCTATATAGGTACCTATTAGTACATTATTGCGATTAACGTAATTATTTTACTATTAGTGAAACAGTAGGTTGAATTACTTTTTGCAGAAAGCATTTGATATAGGTAGGTTAAGTATACCTACTTAAAAAGTTTCAAGTAAATACCTAACTACGAATAATATATTTAAATTACAAAAAAAAAAACCTAACTTGTTACTCTCAGTTTAAATATCTAATTTCGATCATATTTAAACTTATATACCTAGCCATGTTATAGGTAGGTATTAAAAGTGTGTTAATATAATTTTTAAATTTTTTGGTTACAGTATGAAATACTAATGACGCATGAGAAACCTTATTTCAAATTTTCAATCCTTTACTACAAAAATTCAAAATTTATATACATATTTAACAACAAAATAATTTGCACATTTTCGTGATTTTGATGTATTTTATCTAAATTTGAACTTCAAATGATTATAAAAAATTGTGCCTATGTATCATAAATATTTTTCAATTACTGTTATAATAATTTACGAGGAAGTGAGGAACCTTATAAAACTAACCAACTTTTTGATCCACATGCCCAAAAAAACTTTCTTATACCAGTTATACATGTAAGTAGCTCAGTTAAAATATTTAATATAAATCTAACTAAATCTAATTTAATATATTTTGTGAAATTTTCAAGGACGGTTGTTCATTATTAAACTAAGCAAAATAAGAAAATCCTTTAATGAGATATCCATATGGTTACGCCTTTAAGGTTGAATATCTAATGTCAAAGTATGTTTAACTTCAAACGCTCATTACAAATTAATTTGACTTTCGGGTAAACTCTTCTTCTTTGTTGAAGTAGTCAAAATGTTGAGGAATCTTGTATTACATTTTCAAACCGTAAATATAAAAAGGAAAATTGTTATGAATTTTGTTAAAATTTACTCAGACGCTCAGACGCTCTTAAAAAAATATAATGAGTTTACACTCAACTTCTTTTTCAATGACACTAATAACAATTTATACAGAACCTTGTATTACATTTTCAAGTCGTTTGACCGAGCAGCCATTTTTTTCGTCGACAATAATTTATAAAACAACTAATAAAAATCGAATAGTAGGTACCTATTCTTTACCTATTATTTCTTATAATTAACTCGATAAACATTTAAAGTATCATATAGTTATTAATTTTTGAGTTACACCAAAAAAAAAAAAAAAACTGGTTTAAAAATCCTAGTTCTGCCTTATCCATAGCCAACAAATATATTAATCTCAATATTTTAAATGTTGGTAAACATTTAAAAATACATTCGCGATTGCGCCCCCTGATGAAGTTTCTAGCTACATCCTAGGCGATTAATATCATATTATTATTCTGTCTACGGCATATATCTACACGGATATATAATATATATTTTAACATTTACATTTTCGGCCGGAACCATGTTTTTGTAATCTGAATTCATCCACGTAACAAAAACAAAGTTTCCCGCAAACTGGCGTCCACACTGGCACACTCTATAATGACCGAGATGCAGCATAACAGCAAAGTTTTATAACAGTCCGAAATTTAAATTTTTTCAAGAGGATGTCACACCCGCGTGTGTTGTCTTCGTCTTACAAATATTATGTACAAGTACAATAACATGGCAAAAACTGTTTTGCGCGGGACAACTTTTATCTCTCTGCGTTTGTAGCAGTGGTTCCAAAATTTCTGAACATATAGAGTGGACAATTATCTATGCAACAACTTGCCCATATTTTAGATGACATAAATACAATAAAAGTTATTGGCTTCTAAACATTTGGTTGTTTTTTTTTTTCATTTGCTTTTAAAAAATGATTGGACAGTGCTATTGAAAAAAAGCACTCTGTTGCACAGATAAAGTTCTTCTCTGCGTGTTGTGAACATTTGGTAGTTCTACAACAAATATGGTGCGAGAAAAGTTGTCCCGCGCAAAACAGTTTTTGCTTGTTGTACATTTGTAAGACAACACGCGCGGGTGTGACATACTCTTAAAATCATCAGTCAAATATTTTAATAATTTATCATACAAAATAATACCTGTCATTTTTAGGGTTCCGTACCGTGAAAGGGGACTCTATTACTATAAAGCTCAGGGCGCCCTCAGCTGTCCGTCCGTCTGTCACCAGGATGTATCTAGTGCACCATGAAAGTTAGAAAGTTGAAATACATGTTTGTAGCTGATGATGGTATGGGACCCTTCGTGCGCAAGTCCGACTCGAACTTGGCCGGTTTTATAAAATATCCCCGCTAAATACTGGATAATTTTAATTATTAAGTAGTTTTTTTTTAATTTTTAGAGCGTTGTACTGTTGTAGTTTAAACGAACGATTACCTACACATTATCAGTCGGTACCTATCTAACTTTCAGAGTACCTACCTACAGTTTAATATAGGCCATATGAAAAATTCTGAGAGTAGCAAATACACAAAGTTAAAATAAAATAATCATGAATATAGGAAACTTTAATTAATAAAAACCGACTATGCTTAAGAGGACGCCACACCCCCATGTGTTGTCTTCGTCTTACAAAGGCTTAACATACCAAATTTACGCTCAGAAATTCAAGTTTTATGCAGTTACCTTAAAAATTAGAGTGAATCGAACTATTATGAAACTTAATGGTAAGAACATTATCTGTGTTTTGTTGGAAGTTTTTTTACGATAATTTCGTTATGAGCATTTTTAATTTACATTTATTGTACACGCTATAACTTACTTTAAAACTGAATCATGATAAAAAAAATATCCAACAAAACACAGATAATATTCATACCTACCATCAAGTTTCATAATAGGTCGATTCACTCCAATTTTTAAGCTAACGGCGTAAAACTTGAATTTCTGAGCGTAAATTTTGTATGTTACGAGTTTGTAAGACGCTGACAACACATGCGGGGTGGAGTACTCTTGATGATTTCACTTGACAAGTGGTTTCTTATTTATAAATGCTTTCATGTAAATTATTTCCCGATTAAATTGTTATTTTTGTAGATTGTAAATAATGTATTGATATTTGATACAAAATATCAGACCTAGAAAGGAACTGTGTATACAATATTTGACTAATCACAATTCACAAGTAGAGGAACATACCTAATGAAGTAGGATCATTGGACCCCCCCTTTCTATCACACCATCCAGTCCTGTATACTTGTACTCCCCCCCAACCATATTACCTATTGTATAAATGTATTACAGATTGTATAATATATTCTTGTTTTCTAATAAAAAAAAAAAAGAACATACTTTAAGACTTGAGGTAGATTCTGTTATAACAATATAACTTATAAGCCTATAGGGGCTTAATTTTCTATTTACATAGATAGGTAATGAAGAAACTCATATGATATACAATGCATTCTATAGCTTATTTATACCTACTATAATTTAAATACTCAGATGTATGATGTATTAATCAATTATCTTAGATACCTACCAATATATTTTTTGCAATTTTTTTAATAATAGAGGTAGTAGGTAAATAATACCTTCTTTTGCAATTTCTTATATCCAGTTTAACAAATTATTATTTTTGTTTTAACAATTTTGTCTCTATGCACATGAAGTAAATATAATAAAAACAATTTAGGTTATATAATTTCCTGAAATTATCTGTTATCAAATCAGTTTATTACAGACGAGTTACACATAAATATAACTGAAACAAAAACCTAACACATGATGTACAAAATTATTTCGTAAGGTAAACAAATACAATTTTTAAGTTTTGAAACAATTAAGTATTGTAAGTACATCAAAAAAAATGTTAATATTGACGTGTTAACCACGAACAACTTGAATAACTCACAAATTTAACTTTGTGGCCAGGTTTTTAGTTGCCCTCAAAATATAATTATCATTTTTAAATAAGCGAAACAAACTTGAACGTACAAACTTAACAAAAGAAAAAAATGTAATGACCTTTTTAAATTAACAATCATATACACAATATTTGCTGAAAAAGAAATATTTTAAGTGATGCAGTCACCATTTTAAATTAATGTTTTTTGTTTTGTTTTTTCAAGAAGAAAGAGTAATTTTTTACACTGTTTCTTAATATATATATATACAAATTACATACATAAATAATTACTATGATATATAAAAATTTATCGAAGAATATTAACGAATTCTGTAGAATTTTTTTCTGTGGAATGAAAAAAATTCATCATTTATTACAAAATATGATTAGTTGTCGAACACAAATTATGTTTATTCATAACATTATTTGGCAAAAATTTCATATGTCCCCAAGAACACCACTGTTATCTCGTTTGTATTCCAAAATGTTGGATCTACCATTGATTTTCTCTTTTTCAACATCTTGCCAAGCTGGATAAAATAAAAAAATAAAATAAATATTATATCATGTTATAACAGTGTATAGTACAGTATACTGTTATTTGGTATAATATAATAATATATTATATGAATATTCAAAAACTTGAAATAAATAACATTTAATTTCCCATTAATTATTAGTTTTTAAATTTAGTCCATACGGTATAGTTATACTTGGGAAAAAATGCTATGTAATATTAGATAATATTATTTCAGGACCAAAATAAATTGCCCAAAAAATGAGTATTTCTGTTTTTTGGAACTGTTTTAAACATAATATTTAACAGTAATAATAATAGTAATAATATACATGCATGAAAACCAAAATAACAAATAAGACACTTTTCAATTATAAAATTAATTCATGTTTTTATACTAATTACAAATTAAAAATGCAATTAAATTTTTAATTACCTTGTTTGATGAACAATATCACTTCTTTATAGTTGTACTCTATAGGCATAGGAATTGGTGCTGGAGGTGAGTAATCATTACCACTATCACACAGTAAATTTTGGTCAATTTCAAATCCAAAAGACAGGCTTGTATCCACCTCATACTTATTATACATAATTGGGCTTTGTTTTTTCTTTGACGGTACACGCACAGTCAGCGAGGCGCTCTGTGGGGGGACCGCTGCAGGAACTTTGTTTAAAACGGCAGTCTTTTTAGCGGTCTCAATATCCGCTTTTTGGGGTTCATGCACAATATATGTGACATGCACATCCCCATTGATACATTCATTATCGTAATTTACATTACTCGCTATACTGTCAGTATTTCGCTGCGGTAATGCAACAGTAACTGTTGGTATTGACTCTTCAGAAGTGGTAACTACACAGGCTGGTTTAGTCAAATCAGTTTTAGGAGTTTCTTTGTATGATGGCTGTTTAGAAGGTGTAGATGAGGCAGGCAGAGAGTGTACAGAATCTAGATCAGAGTTATCTTCAGATTTGTCTGAATGAGGCATTGAAGATGTGGATTTCCTTCTTTTTTTATTTTTTACACTTTTAGGTTGTGTATACTGTGACAATAAATATGAGTCATGAGGAGGAAAGTTACTAGTGGTTGTATTTAATTTATTTTGTGATTTCTGTTTTTTTCTCCTCTGTTTATTGGTAACCAACAAAAAATCAGCAGAATCTGTATCTTGTGACTCTGACGATAATACATCAAGTCTCTGTTCAGTAGATGCAAACTTCTTAGAAGACTGATTTTGTTTTGGTATTTTTTTTTTACTTTTTTTACTACTTTTAATTGATTTAGACTCATCGTCTGAACTATCCATATGTTGAAAGACTGTTGTAGATACTTCTTCAACACTATTATACTTGGTCATTTTCATTTTACCATTTTTTGGCCTACCACAATCATCATCAGAACCTTTTCCATTTCGACTTTTTATTTTATTTTTTGTTTTACTACCTTTATTTTTTTTATTATCACCACTTTTATCTCCAATGAACTTTAAGATTTCATCAATATTTTTGTCCCCTCGATATCCTTGAATATCTTCAGAGCGAACAACCTCATCTCTCTATAAATTGAAAATTTTTATAATTTTATAAAAAAAATATTAAATGCTTTAATATAATTGTATTCATCAACAAACCTTCTTTAATTCTTTTTTTTGCTTATTTCTTTTAATTGCAGTATTACTAGTATCTTCAGTATTGTTTCTCTAAAAAAATAAAACAACGAAAAGTATTAGATTTTGACAGGAATATTAGTTTACTTATTAGTCCTGCATGACCATAACTTTGTAATTAAACTATATAATATCTTGCAATTAAATTTTTATAAAGAACTAAACAAAATTTAATTAAATTCATATATTTTGTAAGTTTAAATAACATACAGTTTTCCCCGATGTTGCACCAATAAGACTTATTTAAAGTATATGTAAAACTAAAAAAATATATTATATACTTCAAAATTAAACATACCCTATTATTATTATATGCAGTCTGTAATCCTAGGTTATCTGAAACATTTAAAAATAATACATCACTATTAGAAAAAAATTGCAACTAAATGAAAAATGAAAATATTAAAAAACCATTCCAAACTGTCCAAAACTTTAACAAATTTTTCAATTAGTTATTTATACCACTAAAATTAATAAAAATCAAAAATAGAATAAATACTTTTTTATATTTATTTATTTAACAATACAATTTTCATAAAAACAATAATAAATATTTATTTATTGTATATTGCTACTTAAAATAAAAAAAAAAAATACATTAAATATTCAATGAAACTAATGTATTTTTTTTAAGTTGAATAAAAATTAAAATGAAGGAAGAGCTGAAGAAAATATTACCTAATTTTATAAACTAATGAGAAATCTAAATATTGTATTTTTTGAAACAAATTCACATATACCAATTTGTATGTAAATAAATATAGTTTTTATTAAATTTACCTTATAAATAAGTTGAAATTCTTTAATTTTAATTCTTACCATACACCACAGCATAAGACCATTTATAAATAAAAGTTTGAATAATTTAAAATCTTTGCATCTTAGAAAATACCAACAAAAACCACTTTAAGCAATTAAAATTAAAGCCAAAATTAAAAAGTTTTAATTCTTGAATATGTGATTTGTTAATCCTACAAATAATATGTGCATGGCAGTGTTGACATAAAGTCAGCTAAAATGTATATTTTCCATGAAAAAAATTAGGTGATTCATTATTACTTATTAGTTATTATTAACCACAAGATTGAATAAATCAATTTAATAAATTATAACTTTTTACATGAATTTGTATAAACCAAATGATAGCTTTTGTTTAATTGTACAATAGAGTCAAGGCAAAAAAAAATAATATAATATAAACAATACACACTAAATACTGTTTAATATAAATAAGAATTTGTCAATTATCATGTCAGCAGATCTTAAAATGTGCTCCGTGATTATGTGTTAGTTAAAACAAGTAAACTTAAATTTCAACTAACAAAAATTAATTATATTATTTCAATTTTGATATCCCATGTGTTCGTGGAAAATGAACACTGTAACTTACTACCTTTTGCAATTTTCTTTAAATTTGGTTATGGAACATGAAACTAGAATATTATCCATTTCTCTGACTCACAATAATTTTGTAATACAACTGTTGTTGTATTAACTCATACATGGCACACACAACACAAATTACATTTTATTAATAAGAATCCTTTAGCATTATATATCTAGATTGGTCAATTTATAAAGTCATTTTTTTGTACCTGTTAACTTATATACTAAATCCAAAATTGATTAAATGAGAGATATTTCAATTTGGTGTTTGGTTTGTACGCAGTGTCAATTTTAAAAAAGCATACTAAATTTATGAGTTATTAATCTAATAATAATCAGTCAAATTGTTAAATTTTAATTAGAAGCTAGAACTAAAAAGTACATGCACACATATTTTTATTCTATTTGAAATAGCTTTCATACAGTCAATTTTGGATTTAGAATACAGGTTGATAGATCAGTGTGACCAGTCAGAATATGATATTAAAAATAAGAGTTATAGTTTAAAAGTAATGAAGTTGTACGTCACGCCATACACAGAGTAAAAAAAATGAAATAAAAAGGTGGGCAAGTGGTTACCACTCTGCTGTACAGTTGGTGGCTAGAGGGTTCACTGTAATGGATGTGTTAAATTTAAATTAAATTATATAAAATGTTTGAGTTAGAAAATTCAATTCTGGGCAAAGATGGTCTGTCAGCCTAAGTATATTTTATTGTATTATTGGTGTCAAAATATTTTATTTTACTATTAAACACTAGTAATACAGTAGATTGAATACAATTTTTTCTGAATACATTTTATTTTAAAACGTCATTGTGTGTATAAAACATTAAATTATAATAATATACTTTAAAAGTTTCAAGTAACCATAAATATTTTTTTTAAATTACATCAAAATAAACATTTGGTGAAAATATCAAAAGTAAAAGTATCTACAAGTTTTCATTATTAAACTACAACAAAATAAGAAAATTGTTTATTTATGGGTGAATATCTAATGAGAAAAAAGTTAAAACTTCAAAATTTCTAAAAAAAAAATTAATTGACTTTTCTGTAAACATTTTTTTTTAATAATTATAAATATAAAAAGAAATTTTTTTATGCATTTCTATGTCAAAAATTTGCAAACTTTTATGTTTTTTACTTATTTTGTCAAATTTCTAACTTCAGACACCTATAAAATATTGATTGTGGAATAACGTTCAACTTTTTTTTTTAATTCCACAAAAATTATTTTTTAAAAGATCATTGTAAAATCATTATATTTATAGTTCTGTTCAGAATCACCTTTCAGAAGTGAAAGAAATTGATTGCTCAGGAATTAGTTAGTCTAGTTTCATGTTCCAAAAACCGAATTAAAAAATATTAAGTTTAGAATGCAGAGGTTGATGTAAAATTGTATTGTCTTAGCAATGTTACCACGGTAAGAGGACGTCACACCCGCATGTGTTGTTGCTTCACGTACGATATAGCAAATTTTCATTTGCTAGTATCAATAGGGTGCTGTCAGTTTGGAAATTAGAGTGAAATGACCTAATATCAAACTTTTAAGTAACAACATTATCTATGTTCTCTAGTTGGTTTTTTACAAGATTTTAGTTGTGAGTTATAGTGAGTTAAAAGTATGTAAAACATCAATATTTTAAAATGGTCATAATTCATTTAAAAATTAAAATATTGTAAAACCAACGAGAGAACACAGATAATGCTGTTAACTAAAGATTTGATAATAGTTAAATTCACTCTAATGTCAAAACTAACAGCACACTATTGAAACTAGCAAACAAAAATTTGCTATGTCGTACGTATGTACGAAAGAGACAACACATCATGTTTGACATTCTTTTAAAGGAAAATTATTGTATTCTGCTGTTTTTTACTGATACCGCTTTAGTGTATACGGGGGCTCGGCTCTCAAAGGGAATTTTTTGTTTCGGTAAACATACAGTATAATAAAACTTAATAAATATACAAATATTTGGTTTATGAATTTTAATTTATATTTCAGTTTTTCTAGGTAGTGTCACAATCAGAAAAGTTTGAAAACAACCATCACGGATGCGTACGTAATTATTCATTGATACTACTGATACAAGAAATTATTATAATACTATGTACATATGAACTATAATTTTCTTATTTGTATTATTCTTATTGATCTGTAACACAAATAGGAATATTTTTCTAAGATATTTAGATATAATAAAATGTGATATTTTCAAGTAAAATTTTTAAGTTTTAACATCTATAATATAAATATAAATATATACTGTTTCTGAAATTAAAATATTGATAAAACTTGATGTAATATACTAAATGTCTGTTTGTTTTAGTTGTATAGTTGTAGGCATGAAGTGGCATGTAATCATAATAGCATGAGCAATTAAGCATTATGTGTCATCATAACTAGGGAACCAACAAGTTAAAATCAATATTTTTTGTTATTTTACATAACAAGAATAATAAGTCTAAAATGTTGAACAAAAAATATAAAAGAATCTCGTAGAAAATGAATTAATATATTATTAAATAAAAATCTGATTTTCATTTTAATGTTAAATTTAATTATATAAATATCTATCAAAACTCCAATAATTGTAAAATCTGGATCGAACAAAATAGAAGACGCCCATAGAAAATTAAATAAAATAAACTTTCAAAATTGAAATGGTTTTACAATAATAAATATTGCAATTTAATGTCAGTTAAGTTTTATCTATTATATCCTGTTACTATGATTTAAACATATAATGATATTTATAATTTCAAGTATTACGAATATTAGCTTGATTCCAATTAACTTTTTGAAAGTATGCCTATCAACTACAAATTGTACAGAAAAATAAATGAGTTTAGCGATATTAATATACTTAGAATGAATGTAATTATAGTAAATAACAAGTTACCATTTGGTGTTAAAAAATGCAAACTCATTGGTTGTGAAAATCCATTATAAGGATTTTGATAGCAATTAATTTGGCCTCCAAATAGGTGTAACAAACGATGGTCTATCATTTGTGCATCTTTATTAAAATCCGTTACCACTGTAGCTGGCTGAAGTAAACAGTTTTTCACGTCTGGATCGCCCTCACCTGAAGTCCGTGGCAGTACTTCCAAATAGAATATAAAAAGCATGCCAATTAAAAATGAAAAACAAAAACAAAACAAGGAATATTCTGCATTTTGAAAAGTTAGATAATTAAAAAAAGAAAAACACCACACACTCCAGTAAATTATTAAATAATTTATTCCTTAAAATGAAATCAATTGTTAGCAATATTTTTTATAATAAAGTGTCAACCACTCATATTCATATATGGTTCATTAGTTCTAGATTAATTTAACTATAATTAATTGTGCCTCTGCCTTTCAAGTTAATTGAATATTATTTTTATTTTAGTATTTAAATAATGGTTATGGTTAAGTTCTGTTAAATTTCTAAAATATACTATTATTTGTAGGTTTTAATAACTAATGTTCAATACAAGAAAAATTAAAATAATTTGTTAACATTATAAAAGTTTTTTCAGCTTTAAGCAATCAAAGTTAATCAAAAATGTAATGATAAATTGCAAGCCTAACAATTAAAAATACTGTTAAAAAAATTATTTTATGTTTTTACTTAAGTATATATTCTAGATTTCAATGTCAAAATATACAATTGTATAATACCTAATACTGCTGAAGTAATACTTTAAGATCAGATTCATTATTCAATGAAGCATTTATAATTATTATAATTTTTAAATGTGATATATTAAAATTTACCTTTAAAAATAAATTTAATAAAGCTTGTCAATATTATTGTGTTGCAGAAACAAAGCAAGTAATTAATTGAATTGACAATCACTTACCCAATCAGATGAAAACAAATCTAAATAATTAATTTCAAATACATACTTCATGCAGTTTATATGAATAAAATTAATACTCAATATAAATTATAACAAGCATTGTACATATAGTGTGTGTAATCAATAGTGTTGAAAAAAAAATTATAAAATAAATATTTTATCAAATATATAAGATAACATTTTCTTTAAAATGTATGGACTACTCAATATTAAATATTAAACCAATACATTACAAAACCAATTACAAGTGAATATTATTTTTCTAGTAACAGACCACAAAAGAAAAGCACAATTAATTACATAGGTACTGAATAAAAAATGTGTATTTTTTTTTTTTAATTGCCGTGGAAAATCTATTAAAACTTTTAAAAAGCTACTTAAGCATAAATGCAGGAGCTATGATTTCCAATTTGAACTTTTTAAAGCAAAATAAATTTGTAGGTATATTTTATCCTTGAAACAATCAAAAATATATTACCTTTAGTCATTCCGTCTTTGGAATCTTTAGTGTATGGTGAAGCATCTATTTCCATGTAGGAATCATGATCTTCATAATTTTGACTCGATTGCTTCAAGAAAAAAAAAATGATAATTACAATAACAGTTATAATTGAATATTCTAGAAAAAAATTTAAATAATGAATTGTTTAGTATCTTCGTATCCATAAATATGAGGTTTTAAAAAAACTAAATATTCTCAAGTTATTTTGCAGCTAACAAATGTAGTACATTTAAATCTGTCCTTTTATGCTTCATTTGAGAAATAAATTTTTGTTAATATTTTCATTTAAATTATTAAAATTAATAAGTAAATGACAACTTGAAATATAAAGTACAATGAAAAATCAAATCAAAGTTGGTAGAAATATTAGTCATTGATAATCCATCATAACAACTTGAAAACAGTATTGGAGACACAATGAAGACACTCGAAGACAAATTAATAAGACTTTATGAAAAATAAGGTATCGGACAGTTGTTTTGTTTTGCTTTGCCTGTCCAAGAGCAGGAGTGTTCTATGATTATTAGAAACATAAGAGCAATGATAAAATATTCGAAGCCTAACTTAGTTTCTACCGTAAGACATTTTTAAATGTTAAGTTCAGGATTATAAAAAATAAAACAGATGTTCATTTTGTTAAAATGGTAGTCGTTGTACTTACATGTCATGCTAGTAGTTTTCCGTATGTTTAATAAAACTATTCAGAGATTTATTTCTTTTAAACATAATCTCATAAAGTTTTTTTTATACATTTATAAAGGATATGGGAAACTTGTTCATTACATAAAAGCGTTCAAATTATAAACAATTTATTATTAAGTTAAATCTCACAAAGTTATAAAGTTATAAATCAATTTATATTTTAAATAACTAAAATGAAATTAAAACAAATTTGTTACATGGTATAGAAAATTATTATTGGGTGTTTTTGGAATGCGATCTAATTATTATATTTTCAAAGTCATCAAATTATAGAATTTAACACAGTTAGTCTTTTAGTTTTTTCAATGTATTGTATTAGGTACTATAATTAATATTATGAGACCATTATTTCCACATATTTTGGTAACTAAAATTAAATATATATACCTACCATGATAAAAAAAATTATTTATTAATTTTATTTAACGATAAAAATTATTTTTCACCAGATATAAAATGTAACAAGTAATTACCCATTCAAATATCGATAGAAAATGTATTTTTATTTTCAATAAATGATAAATAAAACAAATTTTAAATTTTCATTTTGTACAATTATCTAGTATTCACAGTTTTCACAGAAAAAAAAAGCATAGTAGTGTTAAGATACCATAGAAAGATTTTCCAATAAAAAAATAACTTTTAAAAAAACAACGTTATATTAATTATAAATTACCATGCTATTATGGTCTCAATTAAAACTATTGTTAAGTTATGAACATTTATGTTATAACAAATAATTTGAAATAACCATCTGGAATTTGATGTGGGTTTTATACATTTATTTAGATATTTAAAATTGGTCTATCAAGCAGACTGTGGTATGTAACAAATTGTGGTATACTATAATAAACATAAATTGTTGTATCCATTAATTTTATTAGAGTAATAATAAAATTATTACTCTTGTGCGTTTGTCATAATATAAACTTGTTATACCTACTTTAGATATGTACCATAAAGTTTTAAAAATGTTCACCAAATGTTTATCTTTTAATTAATGACCACTATAACCAATGTTGAATTTTGATAATCTATACTTAAAAGTAATAACTCAATTAATTTAATAACACTTTTTATTTATTTTAACTATATATTTACATTTATTAAAATTTAAAACAATATGTTTAGAAATAGACAATAGTCCAATAGGTATTTATGAATTTTAAAAATATAAATAAAATAATAAAGCGTCAATTATGAAATTATTCACTATAGTTAATAAACCTATGCCAATATTTTTTCTACTTTATTCAAAATATTATACTTTTTAAAAAATTGTTTTTCCACATAATTATGGCCGAGATAAGAAACTATAGTCGGACAGCCTTTTAATGAATCAATTTATCATTGTATACATAACTATATTATCCCTGTCTTCGTAGTCATCATATTAAATAGTTGTTAATTCTGAATCGTAAGTTCCTATTGTTATTAAATAATATACTAAAATGTTAACTTTTGTAGTGTACCTAGAAAACATTGTGCATGTTATTGAACAATAGAAATGTATAAAAATATATTTCTAAAGAACAGACTATATTGGTACCTAGTAGACTAGAGCTCAATCTTGACTTTTTTTTTAAATATTAAATAAGAAATAAAGTGACAACACTTTTATTAGTGCTAATAGGAGTAATTACCACACAACTAATGGATGATTCAAGAAATATTTTTAGTGTTAACTGTAGTTTTATTTATATTTACCTTGCACAATAATGGTGTAGTAAATCGATCATCTATTTTAGTCTCATCTTTACCAGGACAGATTTCCAAACTTGCATGACTAGTATAATTTGACATATCTTTAACCTGAATTTCTTCATACCCAAAGTCTCCAAGATCAACCACTTTATCTACATTTTTAGCCATTTTTGATGACTCCGCAATTTTCTTACGAGTGTTTTGGGTATTTTTCTTATTTATCAATACAGATATAGCTTGTGCATGGTTAACATGACTTGGTAATGAACCTCCTTCTAGTTGACGGGCGCTAACTTTGGTAGTGACACCAGAGAGCCGCTTTTTAAAATCTGGTGCTAAATCAAAAGCTTCAAGAGAAGAATTTTCCTTGATGTGTTGGTCTTTAGATGATAACTTATCAAGATCAGTCTGGCTATCAACTAAGCGTTGATTGTGCAATGGTCGCTTTACATCATCTTCTCCATTTTGAGTCACATCTTCCAGCAGATTCTGTAACATAAACTATGCAATATTTAATCTTATTTAAAAATGGTTTTGTAGTTCTGCTAATATGATGTATACAATTATAAATAACAAATTAAAAATTGACAAAACAATAAATATAAATCTATAATTTTTTAACATATAGGTAAAAATTTATCTCAGTTATCTCTAATGTCTTACAAATATTTACTAATTTTAACTTCACTTAACATAAAATTTAATTTTCAATAATAAAAATTAAAAATTAAAATTCAATTATTATTTATAATTTTAAAAAAAAGATTTACTTTTATTATAAATCTCATATATTTATTATAGGTAGTTTGGGTATACATAATTTATGATAATATTATATTAAAATAAAAATAATTGGCACTTAGTCAAATAATTACTATTTTTTTTATCAATTTAAATAGCATTAATTATTGTTAATTATATTAAATAGTAACATGATTCAAATAATGGTTCATATTAGGTAAATTTATTACTTTATTTTCAAAAGAAGTTTAAATGAATAAACATAAAATTCCAATATGCAGCTTATAGGTTAGGTAAGTTGATTCAAATTTTAATTTATAGATGAATTTTAGCATTTAAAAATACAATATAAATGTGTAAATTCAATTAGAGGTTAAAAAAACAAAATTTTAGTTTCAAAACTGATTTCTTGGTATTTATAGAATAGAAATCATAATCATGTTAATGTAACATTATTAAAGTGTTAAATAAACTCTTAAATAAGTTTACACTTACAGCTATTTATTTCCAATATTGAACCAAAGTTTAATTTTTAAATGTAATTAGGTAATGACTTTCACTTGCCCTGATGATTTAAAAAATGATTTACGTTACAAAGGGATAATATTAACTACCTATACATATATGGAATTTGGAAAAAATATACACCAAGAAATAGAAACTTACTTATTAAGTAGTTACCTAATATAAAAAATTATTTAATTATTTAAATAAAAAGAACATCATTTTAAATACAGTGCATTTTGGCGAGTAAGTGCAAAAAAAATCCATAACATTTTTCCAACTCACTTATTTGAAAATAAAATTGTTAAACCTTTAAAGAGTAAAGAACATAAACTTACAAACTAATGGACAGGGCTTAGGGAGAGTCCTAGAGAAACCAGTGGACAATGTCCGAGAGAGAAAGAACTATGTGTTTGGGATAATCACGGAGACCATTTACATTAAATTGTTTCATCCATGCATAGTTATCAATGTTAAAGTACCAGACTCCAATTATACTATTATAGACGTCTACATAAGGCACAGATTTCTATATAATGTAGTCTATTCAGAATAAGATCACACCAGATTTATGAAGCGAAACCGGTTTTGACCATGGGCACCTGGTATGTTCTTAATCTGAATAGAGTACAGTAGGTATATGTAGTCTGTGGCACGGACTAAGATAGATCTTAAGGCGCATTCACAGCTATGTCGTGTGTCGTGTCATGCGAGGGCTTGGTTATTATATGGTTACAACTGGTAACCAATATGGTTTAAAAGTTGAGCAGTAGTCAATTCTTGGTATACTCTGTTACACCTTAGTTATTACATGATACCAAAAAAGTAATATCCTATCACAATACGATTTGATCACTACACACGACGCAGCTGTGAATCCGGGTTCTGTGGTATAGAGAATATCCTCTAATGCTAATGGTAGAATCCTTACAATATTGATAATACCCATGGATAAAACAATTTAATGTAAATAGTCTCCGTGATTATCCCAAACGCATAGTTATTTCTTTAGGAGTCACCATTTGAGAGAAACAACTTTATTCAAAGTGACCCCGTGGCCCGTCTACAGGGCTGCCTATATGACACAGTGTAAAAATCAAACATAATTGTTACAATGGAATGGATAAAAATAGTATATAAATGAGATTAATAAATTTAAAAAAAAAAGTAAAACCTACAATAAAATAATATGGAGTGTTAATAGTATATAAATTGAAAATCATTGCGCTTTGAACGAGGTGAATAAGATTATTAGTAAAATAAAGGTTTTACAATATTGATAAAGTATCCATTAGTGATAAACTGACCTACAGATTAAATCATTAAATAAAAATAGAAATTTTCGATTTACTAATAGCGTACCAAGCGGATAAAATATTCAACCATAGTACTACAAAGGCCAAGGATGTAAAAAAAAAAAACTATAAAATCAGATTACTAGGCGCGCTAGTAGTAGATCGAAACAGCTGATTTATGGATTAAATTCTGCAGCTAAAATATAAAGGATGGGAACCATTCTATCTTAAATCGTGCTCCGAGTCCATCTGGTCTCCATTAACTATAGGCAAAACGCTGGCCATTAGTTAACAGGTCTTTGTTGAAGACAAATGATAAGTTTTGAATTTACGTATAAAACAGTCCGCAATTTTCCAATAATTACTATAATACTCATCAATAAATATAAAATGTTCTCCTCTTTATAACGGGAACACTGTTTTTTCAAAGTGATATTAAATCCTTAGTCATGAAGAAACGGCCACTTCAAGGCTGCACTGAGGTTGTAAAGGTTACTTAAACCACATAATAGATATTATTTTAACCCACGTAGCATATAAGGATCATTAATGTGTTTTACGTTTATAAAAATATATTCATTATTTTGAACCACGGCCCTTTATACATTTTATAGCTTAAAGAATTACGCATTCATGCATGTGCATATGTGTATATTTCATAAACATTTATTTTATTATTGTGTAAATAATTAAATTATACAATCCGTTAACACTATATCTAATTAATATTTTACCACATGAATAGACCACATAAGTCTGAGCCCGATACTAATCTGCGATGCACCATCCACATGTCGTGTCTTCTATTTTGATCAAGAATCGTTTTGTACCGATATTTACAAAAATGTGTTTCTTAAGAATGTTGAATGTTTATGAAATACACACACATGCACATATATAAATGCGTAATTGTACTAGTTATATAATTAAAAAATAATACATCGATTTTCCAGAAGAAAAAAATGATTAATCCCTATTTAACGCGGGTTAGAGTAAATACGACCTTTGCAAGCTTTGGCCGGTTAACTATTCCTTTCGGGACTTTACCAGAAACGCAGTTTAGTCTCCTTATTAAGGTCTTCTTACAATCATACATACAGTAATAATTATTATATGTATGCATGAAATCGCGGACCTATAAAAAAATGGACCAGCGTATACCCATATATTAACAATATAGGCCGCGGTCCCGAATGTGGATGAGAGATCGACTGTTTTTATATAGTGTGAGCACTCCAGCAAGGGGTTCTCATTAACTTTACTTTTTTATATAATTAATAAGACCCCTCGTAACCTAAAAATATTAAATGTTCATTCTCTCGTTATGAATTCTGCTGGAATATTCATTTTTATATGACCACAACCACCTTGCCAGCTATACTTCATGGTAACGAGATAGAGTGAGAGAGAAAGGATTATGAGTTTGGGAATAACACGGAGGACCATTTCCATTAAGTTTTTCGTCTATGCATATTATCAATATTATTACAGTACCGTATACAGTAATATCATAGACTTATTAATAAATGAACTACGCGTCCCCATACCATACTATTATATGTTGCCAAATGCAAACATTGTTAGATGGATAGGCCATTGACATATCACACAGGCATGAACATTATGTGATTACCACAATTTGTAGCAATAGAATTTAATCCAGAAATCAGCTGTTTCCATCTACTACTAGCGCGCCTATTAATCTGATTTTACAGCTGGTTTTTTTTACCTCCTTCTTGGCCTTTGTGGTACTATGGTTGAATATTTTATCCGCTTGGAACGCTATTTGCAAATCAAATATTTGTATTTATTTAATGATTAATCTGTAGGTCAGTAGTCAGTTGTCGGCACATCACTAGTGGATGTGCAACCACACTATCTTAAATGGAGACTCCTAAAATGAGTTCGGAATAATCACGGAGACTATTTTACATTAAATTTACGTCAATAGGTAATTAGGATGATTATTATATTATAGTAGATATAATATTATGTCCAGATGATCAAAATATTTTGAATATTCATGTTTAATGTATCGATGCATCGAAATTTAATACATCGATTGTTTAGATGTATCAGATTCTTGGAAAAAAAGTAAAAATCTCGATGTTTATCGACGTTTAGTAAAAAAAAAAATGATGAATTCTGTTTAGAGTTCTATCATGGATAAAACAATTTGCAAATCAAGATCATATTTTTTCTCATAGATTTACATGGACCTTGGTATATACGATGTTTCCAATTAATTATATTTTTTTTAAATATAAATTCAAGTAAGTATTTAAAAAAAAACTTATACCAGATATGAAAAAAACATCGATATTTTTTTCGATACATCGAAGACCAAAAATCGATGTAAAAACATCAATGTATCGAACAAAAATCTCGATGCTTTTTGCCCCCCTCTAGTTATATATAAATATATAATAGCATTTTAAATAGTAATTTTTTTAGTACATTTTAAATGCTCATAATTTACTTTAAAATTTAAATTAAAAAAAAAACCTATGTCAAAATATTCTTAATTCTAATGTAGTAATTCACTCTAATAGGTAAATTAGGTAATAGGTCAATTCACTCTAAAATTAAACAGAGTTAAATTAATTATTTTGAATGTACTATTTGCTTATGTTATGTGTTTGTAAGATGGAGACAACGCATCCGGGTATGGCATCCGGGGGCATAATTAAGGGGTGATTTAGCGGATAGATACCCCCTCGGCCATCCTAGAGCCTTTATAATAAATATATACAAGCAAATTAGTTTCTTTTATAAATCCGACAAAAAAAACTAGGTAGGTAAGTACATTATATTATACTAGGTACAAACAAAATAAATTTAGTATTTTAAAAATTATTATTCAATTTTAGTATATCCAATATAAAATATTATTTTGAAGAATTTATTATACCTAACATTGTATGGGTACTAAATTGCGTAAAATTTTAAAGCAAAATTTAATAATGTTGTATATAATATATTAGTTTAAGGATTTTTTATAAAATGGTATTCCCAGCTACCACTCAATACCGTACTTGAAAATTTAGTATTTAGGTATTATATTTATTTAGTATTTTGTATTTTGTGTGTATAAAATGTTTCCAACCTCCCCAAGCCAAATTCCTAATTACGGCTACTGATAGCATCCTTTTAAATTTTGGTTTTCATGGCTTATCAATAATCAACCATGAAGCAAGAAAGCAAAACTTTGAATATTGTTTAAGGCATTAAGCCATGCATGTTATTTTAAAACATCTTATTAAAAATTAATTCATATTTCTAGTTGAAGTATTATTATAGATTTAACTTTTATAATTTTTACATAATATTATCATTAAAACCATGATTCGTATAATAATCATTAGGAAAAAAAGAACAATACATGTGTTTTGAATTACAAATAATTATTTATAAAGAAATTATCATTTATTTGCAAATTTCCATTTTTTTCTCAAAATGTTTTCTTAGTAAAGAAAAAAAAGCTATGCATTTTTATAGAAAATTTGTCAAATAAAAAAAATGTTACTTAAATGAGAAAACTAGTACTTAGTAAAAAACTAAGTGGTGATGAAGTGGCTGGACTATTATAAGGAGATATATATTATCCAACCTGGAGGAATTAGAGAGATAAATATTGACAATCTAAATAAGGTTTAAAATAAACTCCCAAATAGTATCGAAAATGTGATTATTTTATCATTTATGATTAATAACCATATAGGTAGCCAATTGGTGTGCTTGATTTTTCTAAAAAAGTTCAAAGTTTCATTGTTAATTCATTAAGCTACGATTTTTGAATTTTAAAAAAAATTCATACCATATTATATCAAGACTGCACTTGCACACGCCATTCATAAATACGTAGGTATGTATAGTTTCTTATATTTTAAAATAAGAGAAAGTAATTCAAAGTTTAAAAAAAAAAATATTTAGGTGGATATTTTATTTTATAAAAGAAATCAATTATTACCTTGGATTATAATTTTTTAGGAAAGTACTTGTTTATGAATTTTTTATTTTTTATAATTAGTAACTACCTATTTGATATTTGGAAATGGAAATGTTTCTAATTTTCCAATTTGTACCAATTTAAAAGTATTGACCTAATTATGTCTAAGTAAATAATAATATTATCTTCTATACTGGGTGATTCTTTTATCAAACAACACTCATTATTTCAAAAAGTGTAAATTTTTTTGAAGATATTTTTTTACATAGTTTCAAGTTGCTTATAAACAACGTTTTTATTAAAAAATTATATTTTTAATTATTTTTTATCCTTATAATTTTTTAAGTTTTTAACTTTTTTGAGTGACAACATAGGGTTTTAATTTTATATTCTAAAGTAGAATATTTTTCTTAGTATTTTGATACATGAAAATTGAATTTGGGGCGAGTAGTATATGAGTTATAAGTAATTAAAATTTAGACCAGCGGTGAAGTGGACAAACATTTCGCGGGGTAACCCCAACCACTCCCACTCCGCTCGTCTAAACTTTAAATACTTATAACTCATAAACTTTGGACTATACAATTAAAACCCTATGTTGTTATTCAAAAAAGTAAAAAACTTAAAAAATTATAAGGATAAAAAATATTTAAAAATATAATTTTTTAATAAAAACGTTGTTTTATAATCGACTTGAAACTATGTAAAAAAATATTTTCAAAAAAATTTACACTTTTTTGAAATAATGAGTGTTGTTTGATAAAAGAATCACGCTATATATAGAGCATTTAAAAAAATTACATATTATTCAATTATAGATATATTATTAAAATATAAATTTGGTTAAAGACACAGATAAGTGTACAAACAAATGGAAATTAACATTGAAACGGGAAGTTACCAAAATCGATATCTGAAATAATACATACGTTGTATAATTCGCTTTTAGTCTGTTTAGCCGTATCGTATGCGACCACTTCTTCTAATAAGGACTTAAAACTAGCTGTGTTCAAATTCGATAAATCCAGCGACAATGATTTGGACTTGTTGTTCTATATAGAAAAAAAAATAGAAAAAATATAAATATATATTACACAAAAACAAAAAAATTAGACAGGTACAATTCACAAATAACTATAATAGGTACATAGGGTGATACAGTATTATAAGGTATTATTATTATTATTATTATTATTATTATATGAGGACGGATAGATGCATAGATAAGAAATGCATGACCTTATGATTTAAAAAAAGGGCATTAAACAAGACGTATAATATTATATATCTATACATAGATTATATTAGGTATTCTGGCGTTAAGTAACAAGATTAGTGTGTCCATACAAAGGTAAAATAGAAGGTAAAACTGTCGATTTAAAGGGCAATTAAAAAAAAAAAAATCAAAGGCAATGCGAAAACGTACCGGAGAACACACGATGGACATACCTCACCAGTCGCCACTCTACACACTCGCGCACTAACACGCATAAACGCACCGACGCACACACTGCAGTGCTTTTGATATAGAAAATTGATTACTCATTATTTCGTATATATAAATATATATATATAAACATAAAGCTATATTATAATAGTCGGGTGGTGTTGAGGCTTTGCAGTAATATGCGTTATTATTATTATCATTATTATCATTATTATCATTATCATCGTCGTCGTCGTCGTCGCTGCCGTCGTCATTATCATGGTCGTCGCCCGTCGGACGCAAAAATCCGGAATAGGTTAGGTAGGAATTTTCAATTCTGGAAGTTTTATGGGTAGGTAGTAGGTACCTACTTTTGAACGTCGAGAAATATAGCGACAGATAAAAAGAATGCACGCGAATAAAAACGCTCGAGAAAACGCAGACCTACCGTCCCGCACGATAACAATTTCAATAATAATAATAATAATAATAATATAGCATACCTAAAATGATATCGCTTAGATCGTATAGCGGTACATAGACGGGGAAATGAAAAATATCTCAAGAGGTGCGCGCCCTTCTGTGTGCAATTCCTAACAATCAGGACTTTGGAGGCACGAATGATGACTGAAATCGAACGAACACACACGAGTGCGAGAAAAACCACTGGCCCGAGGACCGTCTATTATACTGTATGACACACTGACATGGTACGAAAAAGGTATTGTTGGTGTGCTATTACTACTCACGTTCGAACAGTCGGCGGATTCTTGAATTTTCTTTTGAACTTCGCACCCGGCCGCCGACGAGCTTTTGTCGGGGGCTTTAGGTTCAAATTTGGGTTGCGGCAACGATGCCATTTATATATTACGTCGACGACGACGACAACGGCGACGGATGTCGGGCGACCAGCGAGGCGGCGGCTTTTACGCTACGGTGCGCGTCATCTCCACGGCGGCAAAGAACGGCGGATACGACGACAGCGGACGGTGGCGGGACGGCGACGTTACGGCGGATGCGGTGGTGGCGAGTGGTGACAAACCGGTCATTCTAACGTCACGCGCGGGGCCCGTCCGCGACCGGCAAAACTTAACTTGGGCACTTGGCACTTCCTACGACGGCGATCGCGTAAAGTCGACCCGTCGTCGAGCGGCGGGTAATACGCGATAACCGGTGGGCAGACCGATATAAGTATATAACACTCGGTCGTCGGCGAGCACTGTGTACGTATTGTAGTAGCCGTAGTACGGACGACAGGACCGCGCGCGCACCTCACACAGTCCCACACGTACCGCGCACACGCACACAGGCACACATACTCGCGCCGGCGCACGCTGAGCACACACGTCTCACGCACGCACGCACGCACAATCAGCGGTTCCGACGCGGGCGCACACGCGACACGGGCACGTCGGCGGTCGGCACTACGGCACACACGGCAGCTGAAGCGTCGAGCGTGGAGCGTACACTGTATAGTGTGAAGCGTATTAGCGCACTATCATTTATCAGGTAGTCACTAGTCGGCACTCGGCGCTCGCTTACGCGACAGAGTGGTTATGACGTGCAGCTGCGGCAGTGCAAGCGACGTTTTATTGCGCTAGGAACTGCACTGCCGTGGTCGCCGCCGTATTTTCTACAATTCTGTAACGTGGTTACTGGTTTTTGGGGTGGCCTATACCGCCGGTCAAAACGGTTCCACCGCAATCTCGATGGTAGGAAGGTGAGACCATAGACTTATAAATAATTTATTGAGATTTGAGACGGTCAGACAGACCGACCGATCTCGCTGACAGACGATTGCGTTACGTTTCGATTTATCGTGAACCCGACTTCCACATAAGCTCGGACGTATATATATAAAATGTTATCCTAACCCAAATCGTCCTACAGTAGCATTGTAGCACGTGGTTACCCACATTTGTACTTAACTACACGTCATGGAGCAATGTGAACCGTGATCGTGAAGTCGTGAAATCACCCTGATGATATTTTTGAAAAATGACCCATTCCAATTACCGGCTGGCCATTACCGGTCGAGATGTGTATTTGAATCTGGAATTAAAAAGTGGATAAGCAGTGCCAGTATCGTGGCTAAAGCTCATAACTTAATAAATAAGTAATAGCGTCATGGCACTAAATGGCAGGCGTAAGCCTCGGCCACTGATAGATAATACATAAATTAGTAAATACGTCATGCGGCCACTATAAATGCCATCACCATGAACGAATCAGAAAGATTACAAAACATAATATTATCTGAAAGTCCATGGAATACAATCAAATGCATCATTTATGCCAAGAAATATTGACGTCACTGATCACTATAAAGTACTGGTCAAAATAGCGTCAATATATTTTTATATTTATGTTTGAATTACCAATTTCGAATTCAATATTGAGTTTAAAGGAATTAAGTTATTACTTTCCGTTGTTCGATTTATTTTATCGTTGTCTTTACTTACCTATTATATATTATATAGTTAGTAGTTACTATTTGTATATCTAAATAAGAAAACGTCGTATGTTGTCCTTGTCTCCGTCTTACTAACGCATAACTATGAACATTGGAGTAATGTTCATGCGCATTGCGCATAACATACCAAAATCAGGGAGATGGTATTTGCGCCAATTTAATTACCTGTAATTTGCGCCATCAAAAGGTACATTTGAGGGCATATGTACCTAATTTGCGCCAAAATATTAAAAAATATAATATGTATTTTGCGCCACATATACAAATTAATTTTGATCATTTGCGCCACACTTTCAACTTCAATATTGTTGGAATTTACCAGCAGATAGATTTACTAATATCGCATAGGATATACAATAAGTACCGACGTGTGTCCAATATAATATTGTTGTGTTCTACTGATAATAGACATATCGTCTCTATCGATCTCCGATTACGTCTAATCTAATGAAAATTATCAATGTATATATAAATTTTCAACAAATATATGAAGACTACAGACAAAATAAAATTGACAGAAAAGGCTTAGTTTCGTCATTAAGCTATAATAATATAAAAAAAACCTGAGTAAGCTAGGTATTATAAGTAGCTAGGTATTTTATTTCAAAAATTATGTGTTATATAAAATTATAAAATTTACTTATTTAATATACATGGAGTTCGTTTTACTTGTATACATTTATTTATAATTATAATATGACTGATTTTTATATGTTTTATTACTAAACGAAAATTCGTTTTACTTGTGGCGCTAATTACAATTTCAATACGGTGAACTATGGCGCAAATTACAATTTTTGTAGGTAAACGATGGCGCAGATTACATATTGCCTTTTTATTTAGTTTTATTTGGCGCAAATTATAAACTTAAAAAGTGGCGCAAATTACCCAAATACACTTTTAGATGTGGCGCAAATTACATATTTTTTTTTTTTGGTTGTTTTTGGCGCAAATTACGTACGCCCCAAAATCTACGTCCACCAGTTCCAATTTGGTGTAATGGTGTTGTTATAGTTTAAATATCAAAGTGAATTAACCTATAATAAAACTTAAAGGTTGGAACATTATTTATGTGTTAAATTGTTGAATTTTTGCAATGCTTGAATTTTTTATTAAGTATAATGAGTATGGAAAATTCAAAATATTAATATTTAAAAAATGAATATATTAAATAATATTTGGGTAGTGGGTACCCATCTAAGAAATGTTCCACAAGACCTCAATAAGTCTTCATCTAGTTCAATTATGTATTTATTTTTTTTTTTTTGTTTGTCATTTGTGGTGTCCCTTATATAAATGTATAATGTGTCGTAATTATATAATATACCTATTCAAAATCGACGAAAAAAAATGTAGGTATATATTTTTTATTGATGCTCAAGTATTGAGTTATGTAAATAGACAACTTGGGAGTTATAAATAAACGCATAGAATGAAATGTAGGAATATTATTTTTATTGAAGAATTTGAGGACAAAATTAAGAACGTAACATTTATTCTTCTAATGGGCGCATTATTGTTCAACTACCTACCTAAATAAAACAAAAGTAGGTCACGTGAATAGATTTATGTGACAAGTTCGGATTTATTTGCTGGCATAAAAAATATTAAATCAATTCATCTGTATAAAAAAAACATTGAAGGTTGAAGCTAAAGACGATAGTGAACATTTTTACAGAGGATTTGTAAGAAGAATTTGGTGAGTAAATAAATTGAATAAATATTTTTTTAAACAAAACTAAACATACGGAATTACTTTAATAATACGTTCTTATAAGCATAATCTCTCTTAATTTTTTACTTTAAATTGCCTTTAAAATAACGTGTTGTACACTTGTGCCTATGCTATATTCTAATTATTTTCTAGCTATTAATATTTTTATTTAGTTTTGTTTGATTTACCTATATTATGTAATATCTTAGTATTTCTAAAGAAATGGTATCAAATATTCAAATGTCATGTTGTTTTGGGGCACCAATTATAGTTAGCACGGTTCTTTATATTTTGCCATATAATGCATTATTGTAACTATTATCATTGATTATATAAATACTTACACTTTATACTAGGTAATAGTATCAATAGGTACTATTATTATAAAATTATTCGGTGGAAATTATGGTTAGTAAAAAATATTGCCTATTGGTATGATTTATTAGACTATTTATTAATTTATTAGATATAGATTGTAGGTATATACGCAAAGTTACAATAAATAATTTTTGATTAATTCTAAACTATCCATTATAATATTATATTGTATATTTGTATAATTGTATATATAGCTTACAATGCAGTATTACAGCTAAGACGATTGGCTATATAATCTTTAATGGGGCAAACGCCACGGGTGAGGGGGGGGATTTGTATTATTATTGCATAATATATATATTATATGCATGCAGATTACAATAATAATTATTAAACGATTACCTACATTATAATAAATGTTTATTATATTTTGTTGTCTTATAAATTATAATAATATGCGATTAAAATAATTGTCTATCCATAATCTCGAATGTCTAAGTCGACGGCTAGTGTCAGCCTGCGGCCATGGCCCATGGGCCTCGAACGAATCAGGAGCCCTTTTTTTTAGGGTCTTGTAATAATCTTTTATTTGATTGGCGTGTTGCTGGTCTATATAGGGAGTAGAAACTCCTGAAACTTTTTATCGAAATATTTAACCGCACGTAAAATTTTAGACCCAATTTTTTTCTTTACAGGGCCCATAAGACCGTTCATTATGTGGCCCCTTAAAAAAACTGATCCATGGGCCTTTGGTGTTCCAGGCCAACACTTCAGAAGACTACACGAACAATAACGTCTAACTCATAACCTATCACATTTTACATTTATCAGAATAATTATTTTATAATGTTGAATAATTGTTTTTTATTTTTTCTTGTCTGTAGGTACATAGGCGCAATTTCAACTTTTGACTTGGGGGGGGGGGGCTGAATATATTTAAGACAAGCAGACCATTCCAATATAGCATATTAAAATTGTATGTCCTACGTTTTTTTGGGGGGGGGGGCTAAGCCAGTAGGTATACCCATTAGGTATACCCATTACACGTAAAGTCCTCAGTTTTCAATTTTGGGGTTGATTTCTAGTACCAAATTAGATCTATATGGTACATTTGAGAGGTTGAGAACATTCCCAATAGTTTTCAAAAGCATCGGGAAAAATAAATTTAAGAAAAAAATATTTCAAATATTTTTCAATATTTTTGATGAAATCGATTGTTTTTTTGTGATAACAAAAAAATTAAACTGTATATACTTGACATTTTTAACAAATGTGTATAATATTAGGATATGATAAAATTATCAAAATATTTTGACCCTGTTTGTCATTATTGAGTTATTTATAGATAATTTCAATTTTTCAATTTTTTTTAGCTAGGAAAGCTCGGAAATTAAATAGGTATAAGTGGTTCATCATGAGTTGCGACTTGCGATTAATGATTATAGCCATTTTAGAATATTATATATATATATTTTAAATGCCAATAAGGGGCTTTTTTATTTAACTCAAATGTCCTTATAAATATGTCTAACAATTGTATATACTTTACATACTATAGGCACAATTGTACAATTTTTTTTTTATAAGCCTTTGAATTTCAAATATTGACAACATTTTTACAAATCACGATAATTTGAAAATCATTTTGTTGTTAACATTTTAAAA